CCAGTGTGAGGAAAAGTGAAAGTAAATAATTTCTCAAAGTAAACAGATTAAATTAAATGCATTTTTCATTCACTAGAAAAGAGAGCAGGCTCTCCTTAGTTTTATTAATTTATTTAAGTAGAGTATGGATTTTTGCCTTTCTTGTCCTCTGTCCCTTGTTCCCACTGGCCAGTGCTGTCTTTTTATTTGAATTATCTATTTATTATATTAGGTTAATAACCCAAAGGCCATTTTGCATGGTATACACTATAAATACACATTATCGCAGTTACATATTATGCAGCTGATGAAGGAAGACAATTTATGACGAAATGAGATTATCTCAGTTTTTCTATCATCTATTGTGTTGTAGTCTGAAGATTATATATGCAGTTAAGAAAATGAACCACATCTTGTGGTTTGCAGTTCTCTCAGTTCTGTCTGCACAGCTGTGATATTAGGGAGAACTAAAATGTGTAAGCCAATCTATTTATGTCAGCAATCTTCCCCCTCCCTTCCCATTCATACACACCTATTTCATTCATCATTTTGACAGTTTGCACAAGCAAACTGTCCTAATTTTTTTTCAAGAGCTCTTTTCACAAATTGAGTGTGATGTAGAATTAATCATACCCGTTAGGCAGGAGGTGAAGGACTGTATCACTAGGGGGCATTCCCCTCCCTCCCCCGCCATTCAGCTTCCTCTATATTGCACCACAGAGAATTCTCGACCACCCTCAGCCTTCTCTCATTCCACCAGGGCACGGGGTTCTCCGCTGCCTGCAACTCAGTGAAGTTGGGCTCTTACTTCTGTGTTGAAAATATTTCTTTCGTGTATTACAACTTTTTTTCCATGTTCATCACAGCAAGCCGTCATTATACTTCTTGTTATTTTGCCTTCTTTGGGAGTCCCCTCCTGACCATTCTCCCCCTTCCCTCCCACTCCCCACCCCCTCCCAGATCTTTAAAAATAAAAGATACTTGGAAACATAGAAATTTTAAGACATCAGCTTCAAATGGAAAGTACTACTTAGGATGCTTCCCACTAAGGAAGTGACAGGCGTCTCACTGGTTATGTGCTTGCATTTTACTTAGAAGTTTTCTAAAATAATGCAGCAGAGGAGAAGGGTAAAGAAGTTCTAGTTTGCAATGGTGATAACTGAGAAAACTTTGGTGCATATTTTTTTATCGTAGACTTGAAACTTGAGGTTTGTGTCTAAAAATGTATGCCTTATGCCATCCAGTGTTTTATACATGGAGTGAAAAAAGAATCCCACCTAATGACAGTTAATCATTTAAGCTTAAAATTCCGGCTCTCAACACCTATGCCAGTCTTCCTCCCCTTCCTTATTACAAAAGAGAACAATCTGAAAACTGTAGTCCAGACCTAAAATTGTGAAGATGTCGTTGGGGAAATACGTACTGCTTTGCTCTGCTGCACGTCAAAAATTGTATAGATGCTGACAGTTTAGTGGAAGGAGCAGTTTTTGTATCTCAAAAGCATGTGGGTAGTTCTGACAAATATTAGTTACATAAGGCTAATGATAGCTGAACTCAAACCAACACAAAGTTGCTTTAAAAGAGAGAAACTTTCTAAACCTGTTCTCGTGCCTGCAGATGCTAAGGAATTGGATCTGAAGTGTAATTTTCAGCCTAAACTTTCAATAGCATGAAAACCTCACTTCTTCCACGGACGAGCTTTGAAGCGGAAATCAGAAACATGTGCTCAGGTCCTGACTCAGTGGTGAACCAGCTGGGTGACTTTGCACAAATCACTTCTGCTCCAAGTACAAATGCTGACTTTCATGGTCGTGTGCAAAGTCAGGAGGTTAGGACCTTTAAGTTATCTTATGATTCCACAATTTAGCTTCCTTTTGCCCAGATGCCATTATTTCCACCCTTATTTTCAGCTGAGTTGTGTCCAAATAGTCCTTTATGTTTTTATAAGTGATGAAAACATTGCTTTTATATTTCCTGCTCCACGGTTTCTGTTCTTGGAATAGAGATCAATGCCCCCATTTTATGGTTTTGTGGTGACTGCTTAGCGCTGAAACAGCCTTGAGAAACCCCACAAGCAGAGCCCAGGAATGACAAGAGAATGCTGAGAAAGGAGGCAGTATTAAGATTTTGTGGGCTCCTGGATGGATTTTAAGATGTTTTGAAGTTCTTGTAAGAATTTTTCCTCTATATTCCTAGTAAAATAATTAGAATTTAGTAAAAATCATCGAATAATCGTTTTGGTTACATAAATAAAATTTTAGTATCCTTAAATTTTAAAGAAAATTGTATACAGAAGCCTTTTGCTTATTCTTTTCATGTAGACATTTATTCACTCATTGATTTATTCAATATTTTTACTCTACATATAGTTATCATATATTATATATGTGTATATGTAAATTATGAAGATACCCAGAGAAGCTACGTTCAGGGAACTCACAGTCTGTTAGAGAAAATAAGATTATTTTGTGACTCTTAATACAGAAAAGACAGATAACATCACAGGAGGATAGCAAAGGAGTGGTGGAGGTGAAGAGAAGGGGGAGGTGACTGCGAGTCAGGTTTGGTGAGAGTGAAACTCATGTCTATGAACAGGACTTACAATTTTGGTTGGGTTAGTAAGCGAATGGAAGTGAGACACACTATCCACCACCATCTCCCTGTGAAACACAGAGTGACTTTTAGTGTCTGGAAACCATGAAGCAGTGAGCCACCTCTCTAAGTGGGTTTTACTTGGTAGGCAGCAAGAGGGAAGGAAGAACTCAGGGCTGCTGAAAAATCATCACGAACCAAAACAAAGCATTGCTGTGAGGTCCAAATATCCCAAACAGTCACTGTGTTGCTTGCTTTGTTAAATATATTACGGTGGAGAGGAGAGAAGATGAGCTTTGGTGCCAGAAGGACCTAGATTCAAACTCTAGTTCTAGTCTTATTTAGCTCTCTGTGGGTCAGGTCCTCATCAGTATTGAGAATACCACCTCTGTGAATGAGCTAGTATGAGCATTCAGTAAGATGACTCTATTAGCTTTGTGACCTAGCTTCAGTCTTCTCATCTGTAAAATGGGAATAAAAATGTTAAGTAAGATGGAAAGATGGTATGACATAATGCATGTAACCTCCGCCTCCCAGGCTCAGGCAATTTTTCCTGCCTCAGCCTCCTGAGTAGCTGGGATTACAGGCGCCTGCCACCATGCCTGACTAATTATTTTATTTTTAGTGGAGACAGGGTTTCATCTAATATTTCCATATTATTTGTCTTATTTGACATTAAAACTCTCTGTCGGATATGGATTCTTATTTCTCCATTATGTGGATCAGGAAACTCAGCTCAGAGAGGTGAACTGGTGCACTGCAGTCAGTACCGCAGTCAGCGTGAAATAAGGCATGTTCTCTGATGAGAGCAAAATTCAGGTGCAGATTCTATGACAGGAGTCCCACGGTCTTCCTACAGTACTGCACTAAGGCTGCAGGAGGAGCTGGGGGTCACATCTACCATGTGTTGGTTTTGTCATGGAAAGAGCCAGAAGAACTGGAGTCTGAATCCTGATTCTGCCTTTGATTACCCATGTCTTTTCAGGAAAATCACTTTAATCTCTCCAAGCTTCAGGTTCCTTATCTGGAAAACAGGCCTTGTGTTATTTACTTTATAAGGTTGTTGGGGAGATTAAAAAATTCAAATGAGAAAATGTATGTCAAGCACCTGTCATTTGGAAACTCATGAAACAGCTAACTCCTGTTTCTGAGTTGGCAGAGCCCCAAGTTGAGAGATTTTCTAGCCTGTGTTGCCTGGGATATTTCACAGAATACAATTTCCTGATAGGTGTTAGGTGAGAAAAGGCACTGCGGCTAAATAAGCTTGGGAGAGATGAAACGAAACTGAATGAGGCTCTTTTCTGCAGAACTTTTTTTTAGAGACAGAATCTCGTTCTGCTGCCCAGGCTGGAGTGCAGTGGCGCGATCATGGCTCACTGCCTTGAACTACCTAATATTTCTTTTTTTTTTTTTTTTTTGTAGACATAATGTCTCCCTATGTGGCCCTGGCTGGTCTAGTCTCAAACTCCTGGCCTCAAGGGATCACCCCACTTCAGTCACCCAAAGTGCTGGGATTACAGGCGTGAGCCACTGTGCCCCACCCCGCAGAGCTTTTTTAATGGCTAGTTGATGATGCCTTCTATAATGGGATGTTGCAGGAGCGTTGCTTAAGGTCCTTTGACCACAGAATTCTCTTTAGGAGATCATGTCAGGTGACAGATGTCCCACGGTTCACACATTGAGACCTGGTGGTTAAGTCAAGCATCTCCCCTTAGATACATGAGGACACTGTGGACAAAGGGTTAAGGAGAGAAATACGCAGGACTGGGGAGAGCACCAAGCTCACCTGACATCCTCACTCCTGCGTTCATACGACTTTGGGTTCTCAGGCCGCCTTGCCTAACATTGCTCTAGTGCCTGCTAAGAGGGTCGAAGTATCGGATGGAGTGTCTAGATATGACAAAGGAGGGAAAGAAATTCTAGAGACATCTAGTTGGAAACATACAAGATATGACCAAAGGGAGATTCAGAGCAGGGTGGCCAACCCACAGCAAGCCAGCCAATCAATCCCGGTTGTGACTTCTTGCTAGGACTGAGACCACAAGAAGAAGACATCTAATTGTACGCTTGCAACCACAGTCTGAAGCTAGAGGGACTAGGGAGAGGACGCCTGTTAACATCGTGAACTGTGGCCCAGCCACGTAGCCATTTGCAGCCTGTCCATATTTTACTGAGATGAGCAATTACATGTCCTGTAATGGCAATGAAGCAATAAAATTTATGTCTTGTCATCTTTAACAAGATTAGGCATAACCCTGCTCATAAATGTAATACTGAGTGGAGATTTTTAAGAACATAAGTATAGTTAAGGATCCTTGAGTTTATCCCTCATAGTTAATTAAAATCCTCCCCAAGAATCGGCAGATGATAGATATTAGGACACTGAACCTTTTAATCCACGGAAGGGTGAACTAACGATTTTTCCATACCTTGCTCAGCTTCAGCGGGGTCTGTGTCTCACTACATTTGTACCATATGGATTTCAGAAGAGCAGCGAAGGGCGTGACTCCGATCCCCGCGGCAATGCACACACTCACTGGGTAGTGAAACACATCCGTCAGGGCAGCTCCGAAGGGCCCGTCCACTGCTAGCCTGGAATCACAGAGGAGTGAAGCCTATTTGACCTTCAGAACACCTTGCTTGTGAACCCCAAACCATCTGGAGCTGGTGCTTTTTAAAGGGCTTGTTTGCCAGTGTGTGCCGAGAGGTTGGCTCTGTGCCTGAGAATGCCCTATTTGGAGAGCCTGGGGTTAGCATGAGGATTTCCAGCTCTGCCTGATGAGCTGGGAGACGACCAGGTTGTCCTGGCCCAGGCACCGTTCATGGAAGGACAAAGCCTGGCATCTCTCGCCATAGCTCGGGACTCTTCCGTGTGACATGCTCTCTTTACAGTTCTTAGAAGCTTGTTTTGGCTCCAAGAATCAGTGAGCCTGCTGGAAGGGCTGTCTCTCTTATCACCCCAGCTGCATCAGAGAGAAAACTGTGGAAGCATCAGGTAGCTCAGCAGGCTTCTCTTTCCTCTTCCTAATGTCATTCTCTCCTGTTTACATTTGGTCACACATCTGAGTATATTGATGTAATTTTAGCCTAATGGAAGCCATTCATTTGGAATAAGTATAATTTTGAAGTCATTTGCCAGTTACGTGGAACTTCTAAAACCCATTATTTTAGGTTCTTCTGACTCGAAATCTGTAGTCATTAGGCCTTAGGTAGCACTGGTATTTGTCTTTGCTTAGCAAATTTTTCTTATTAAGAATAAAGCATATTCATTGAATAAAGAAGAGGGTCCTTAGCACGGTCCTATGTACATGGCCCCTGAATTATTCTCCATCTCTCATCACCGGTCCTCACACTGGCTTTTCTTCCACTTCCTAAAATATTAAATACACGGTGCTCCCTTCTGCCATGGGGACTTTGCATGTGATACAAAGTCCCTCTGGAATAATCTTCTCCAGTTTCTTCCCTCTCTCATTAGTCGGTTAATAGTTATTCTTCTGGTAGGTCTTATTCCATTCAGTCCCTGTGGAAGCCATCTTGAACCCCTCAGCTTAGGTTAAATCTCCTCTGATACCGTTCACAGCTCCACGTTCCCCTCCTCTCTAGTCCTCATCACAGCTGTAATTTTGCGATTTGTTGGTGTGTGTGCATGATCCGATTGATGTCTGTCTTGAGCTGTGAGGTCTATGAAAGCAGGAGCCAGCGCTGTCTTTGCTCACTGCTGTAGTCCCAGGACTCTCTGACATGAAGTTGTTCAGTAACAATTGGTTGAATAAATTGTAAAGGGAATGTTTAAAATATTTCAGTCAGCAGAACATATTAAATAACCTCAACTATTCCAAAAGCACACATTTACATATGAACAAAGATATGCTAATTCAAAGGTTTCTGAGTTATTCATAACCATTCCCTAAGGAATGTCTGTTGAAGGCACCAGAGGTTGGCCCATTTGGGCTTTACTATGTGTTCACGAAAGTTCAATTGCATTTATTTTAAACTATTCTATATGCCAGACTTCCTAATAATTCAAATGAACTCTTCTGAAGTTAATCTTAATTAATATGGCTTTATTACATATTGATATATGGAAATGGAAGAATAAAAATAAAAGGTCATTAACCAGAAATGGTTAGTATCTTAGCCCACTGTAGATTATTTCATAAATGATTAGATAAAGGAAATTGAGACAGACAGACAGAGAGAGAGAGAGAGAGAGAGAGAGAGAGAGAACCTGTCCATAGATTAAAATGTCTTATTGTTCATTTTTAAAAAACAAATAGTCATATTGAGGATTTATTTGACACTGATTTAAAAAGATACCAATTAAATCCAAAGAAGAATTTTGTCATGACTCCACAGAAATATACAATAAACAAATTTCTATATCTTTAGAATTGAAACTCAAAGCTACAGGAGAAAATATTGAGTCTAAGTTTCCTGCTAACGCAGAAATCCTCCTGCCACTTCCCTGAGAGACGATCATATTCCAACATGAAATTGCAGGGCGCCTTGCTCCATTTAGGGACAATTCTAAGTATTAGACCATTTTTTTCTCACATCTTACTGAAATCTGTCTTCTGACAACTCTCACCTTTGCCTTTCTGAGAAACACATTCCAGTTCTTTTTCCTTTTCTGCATCTCAGGGCTTTAAATAGTTGATCATAGCTATCATGACACCCCCGTTGTTCTTTTTCGGGCCCCAATTTCTTCATTTCTTTAACAATCAGAAATGGCTCCCTTTGCATAAATTCTTGTTTATCACATTTATGCAGCTCTCTCTGCCTTGATTTAGACACAGCATTTCTAATATTGAGGCTCAGACAATGATTTGTCTTGCCTGCATCCATGTCCTCTGGGTCCTTGTTGGGTAGGTCAGCAGCACCCCACCCTACCCCATTAGGCTCCAGTCTCATCTCTCTGAACGGACCAATTGATTCCTCTAACAGATGCTTCCATTGCTACCTCTGCAGCAGGTGGCCATTCTTATCTTTCTAGTAGTAATAGGAGCTAACTCTTTGAGCACTTACCATGTACTAAGTCATATGTTAAGTGCTGATATGGACTGTTATGTTTGATCCTAAACAAAGCCATGAGTACTACGATTGTCATCTTCATGGTACAGATGAGGAAACTGAGGCAGTGTGTTGCATACATTTTCCAAGATCATACACAAATTTGGGCTTTGAACCCAGGTCATCTTACACTGCAGCCCCCAGCCCTGGGCACAGGATAACTTGCTGAAAACTCCATCAGCTCTGAGAAATTCCTGTTTTCCTTCAGAAGGTCCAGTCTTTTCAAAGAATTCACATTTTTCTCCCTTTTTCTTGGGCTTAGAGGAAGAGATTTGCTTGCTCTTTTTCTGGGCTTGCTCTGCCCAGGCTTCTCACTCACAAATTCCAGGGGCTGGATTAAATTTGTCTGGGAACCCAAAGCAGTAAAAAGATATCGTGCTCTCCCCAGTATGGTACATTTAATTCAAAATTAAAACTATGCATAACTGTAAAATCATCCAGGGAAGTTCGATAACATTCCAATTCTTTGTATGTTGAAGATTTAAACAAATTTTAGGTTTTTAGAAGGCTTTGCCACTAATACATATGCCTACATACATAGAGAGGCAGAGGGCACCATAAATTAGTGAATGGGGGCAAACAGCTCTGTTTATAACAACCCATCTTTATTGAGCCCATAAATACTTACTGAGTGACCGAGAGTCAGGGCCTGTTCTAGGACCTGGGGATGGTAAAGTGAACCAAACAGACAAAGTCCCTTTTCTCACAGAGCTTCCATTCTAGTGTGGGAAGACAGAGAGTTAACAAACAATCAAGCAAATATTGAGCATGCCAGGTGGTGGTAGAAAATAAAGTCAGCATGTGGCATCAGGGCAACTGAGCGACTGCTGAGGTTGTCATTTCATGTGCAGGGGGAAGGAAAGGCCTCACTAGAAGGAGACATTTGAATAGAGACCTGAAGGAAGAGAGGATGCCGCCCAGCAGAGATGTGGAGAGCATTCCAGGTGGACAGAACAGCAATGGCAAAGGCACTGAGGGCTGCATGCTTGGTGTGTGTGAACAAGAAAGCCGGAAGAGCTAAGCCCATGAGGGAGCAGGAGGTGGAACAGATGAGCCCAGGGAGGCTCTGGGGACCCTGTTGGGCCTTGCAGCTGGTGATGTGCTCCAAAGACAGAAAGCATATCAGCTACTGAGAAACCAGTACCAAGTTCTTGTTGGGGGTTTGGCTGAAATGCCATCTGGTTTGTGAAGGGGAAGGGTGGTTGACAGAGAAGATAAGTATATACACACAGGGCAGAAGACAGGTGGCAAAAAGGATGAAGGCTTTTGTCTTGGTGATGCCAAGGGGAGAGCAGGGACTGGCACAGCAGTTAGACACATGCCGTGTGTGTGTGTGTGTGTGTGTGTGTGTGTGTGTATGTGTGTGTGTGTGTGCATGCATGCACTAGCAGGGTGGGGGGGTGGTTCATGGGGTTGGGGTTGCTGTGTGGGGCATCTACTTTTATTTCTGATTTTTGAGCATTTGTACAATCTTAAAGTTTTATTACTTTCCTTCCTTTCCATTATAAAAAAGAAGATAGGTATTGTCATCTGATTTGGGACCCTGGCTTGAGCAGATGATGTTTCTACTTGGTTTGCATCACACCATTCTTCAGGACCAGTGTTTGAAAAGAGGCCTGTGATTCTAAATACAACCCAGCCCAGGGGTGCAGTTATAGCTCAGCAGCCTATGAACAGAGGGAAAGCAGGACAATAAGCTGATTACATTTTCTGTCTCAAATTTATTATGGTACCTTGTTTGTCACCAAAAAATACTTGAAAAATTAAATGAGATAAAGAATCCGTATTGTCTCCAGGGCTTCATTTATTCTTTTGTCAAATCTTTCCTCTGCATGCACTGCGTGTCAGACACTGTTGTAGGCACTGGCGATTCTGCGGAGGAGGGACAATGTCCTGCCCTCAGGAACTTCCATACGAAGTGTCTCTACCGAGCTCCCTACCAAAGTGCTCATGCCAGTGGCTGCTTCTTGGTAGTTCCTGATGCCCTCCAAAGATGGCACAATTAGGAATCTCTTGATGCCTCTTTTCAAATATCAAATTCTTCCAAAAATGCTTTTCTTATCCTTTTTTTTTTGGGTGTCCCTGTTATTCCAGAGCCCTAAACATGGGCTTTGTGTGCTTTTGGGTAATTCTGCATGAAGAGTTGGAATTGGCCTGAAGCCACTGTTTACCCAACAGAGCCAAGGAGTCATCATTTACCTGTCATGTGCCCAGGCTTTTCCTTTTTCTTTCCTTCCTTCCCTCTCTCCCTCCCTCCATCTCTCTTTCTTTCTTTCTTCTTTCTTTCTTTTTTTTTTTACACGGTCTCATTCTGTCACCCAGGCTGGAGTGCAATGGTGGGATCTTGGCTCAATGCAGCCTTTGCCTCCCAGGTTCAAGCTATCTTCTGCCTCAGCCTCCCAAGTAGCTGGGATTACAGGCACACACCACCATACCCCGCTAATTTTTGTATTTTTAGTAGAGATGGGGTTTTGCCATGTTGGCCAGGCTGGTCTCCATCTCTTGACCTTGTGATCTGCCTGCCTTGGCCTCCCAAACTGCTGGGATTACAGGTGTGACCCACAGCACCTGGCCCTGAATTATGCTTTTTATACACATTCTCAAATTTAAGACTTGGGCTTAAACTCACCATCTAATAAGGATATTGATGAATTGGGTAGCGTGTTGACACATTAAGATACCTTACTTTTTTTTTTTTGAGATGGAGTTTTGCTCTTGTTACCCAGGCTGGAGTGCAATGGCGCGATCTCGGCTCACCACAACCTCCCCCTCCTGGGTTCAGGCAATTCTCCTGCCTCAGCCTCCTGAGTACCTGGGATTACAGGCACGCACCACCATGCCCAGCTAATTTTTTGTACTTTTAGTAGAGATGGGGTTTCACCATGTTGACCAGGATGGTCTCAATCTCTTGACCTCGTGATCCACCGGCCTCGGCCTCCCAAAGTGCTGGGATTACAGGCTTGAGCCACCGCGCCCAGCACAAGATACCTTACTTTTTTATAATATTGCGATTTATACATGAGAGAAATGGGCACAAACCTTGGCAGGCTCCAGGGCTCCTGGAGGGCCTGTCCCCCTGCCCCAAAGGCCTCCAGTAGCGCTGCCGTCCAGTCTCCTGCTGCCCGGATGTGCACGCTGAAGAAGTCTTCCTGGGGGGCAGAGGTGAGGGTGAAGGGGTGCCACTCCAGTGAGGATATGGCTGGACACTGCATCAAGATGTACTGCCCTGGTGCCATTTTAAAGCCACGCTTTTTCATGTGAAGTTCCAGGACTCCAGAGGGGTGGCTTATCACCTACGTGAGAGCGAGAGAATTGTTTGCCTTTGCCTCAAAATAACAAAGAAACACCTTCCATTCCATTAAAGGTGTTCAAAACTTTAGAACAGCTTGTTTGAAGTGTAATTGACGTATTCCATCTGCTATTAGCGCCCAATCATATTTGCTACCACGTTCACATCTGTGTTTGCAACTCCAGCAAGAACGACTTTCATCTCCTTCACAGGGCAGTGTGTGAAATTGGTGCACCCAGGTGCAGTTGGTGCCCAGCCTGTGAGTCCATGTCTCAAATGGTCAGGCTTTCCTCAGCACAGCCAACCAGACCCAAGGGAGTAGAAGTTTACACAGTATTATGCTTAGGGTTGTTAAAATAGTCACCACATTCTCTCTGCGTTGTTAACATGTAGGAACATTTAACTTTTCAGTGATCTGCCTCTTTTCTCAGTGTCTTGTGAATGAACCCTCTTATTTTTTCAGGCTAAGTGAAAAACAATCTTCAAACTCACTTCAAACTCTTTTCTTGTTTTGTTCTCTTTTTAGTAGAGTTTCATCCCGCGTTCTGTCTTCGCTCTGGGTTTTAGATGTAGGGACGCATTGTGGAAGGGTTCTAGCAGTGTTTATAGAAGCTTTATGACTTGCTATTTGTCAGAGGGAAAAAGCTCATTTCCCTTCTTAGATTTCCATCTTGTTTCCTGAAAAATCTCTCCAGGTCCTCCTGTCTTCTTCTGTGACAACAGGTATAAGGGAACACAATCTGGCGTCTAGATACCGTGACAGTATTTTTCCATTCAAAAGAGAATTTCACAGCATTTTAATCATTGGTTCTAAGCTTCGCCTCTCCTACTAGTATCTGTTCTGACACTGCTGTTAAATGGTCTCCCTAGTAACAGCTCCAGTAGCTTTCCAGAAGTTTTACAGTCTGGCTTTTGATACAGCCTGACATCCTTCAGTGCTTAACTTAAAAACAGCAACATAGAAACAGCTTAAAGCAGAAATAGGAAGCAATTTCTACACATCTGCTTTCATGAAGGTGATTACAGAGATACAGAATTCTGTTAAAATGGTATTAGCAAAGTGGGATAGGCTTGGTGAATGGAGAATTTCTTCTTGGACATTTCAAAAACTGCGGGAGAGTATTTGGCACCTTTTCACTCTCCTAGAAATGCATTTTTTTGGTCATGGTCTACTCCTTCCCATCTTCCTCTAGCAAGAGGTGAGCATTGTGAGGACGTACAGCTGTGAGGATGGGGAGCGAGACTGAACAATGCTACCAGGAGCACGCTGCTCATGAAGGTAGAACTCCAGCCACACCCTTCCCCTCAATTTTTCTTCCCCACAGTGGTCCCTCTTGCTCTGAACCTTATGGTGACTGTTTCCCTTTCCTCTGCTTGGTAGTCCTCAGCGACGGTGTGTAGATTTGAAAACCTTACTTGTTTGCAAAACTTGTGTCTTTACATGGTGAAGGGAGTGATTATTCTTCAAGTCACTATGACCCCTGGAAAGCACACTCACTCTCCCTGCACTTTCCCCTAGAAAGAAGCCAAAATAAAGAGAGGCGGGTAATTCCAGTGCTGTACAATAAACCTTTATCAGAATTCTGTGTACCGTCTGGAGCCCTGATCCCTGTCTTCAGCAAAATTAGTCATACTAAAAGATGCTCAGGATACAAGCAGTTATTAGAACAGAAGATGAGCCTCTAAATCACAGACAGTTCTGCAATAAAAATGGCAAATTAAAAACTTGGGCTAATAAAAAATTTTCATCTACACTCAGGCTTTTATTCAGACATAAAGCTACATGCATACCTTGGTAATGACAACTTCTTGTTGAGATCGCCAGAACCTAATTATTCTTTCGCATGCATACAAGACCACAGGGCCTAAAACCCATTTCCAAGCCTGCAGAGAGTAGCAGAGACAGAGAAACAGGAAATGAAAATAGAATCCAAATATTTTCCATTTGAACCAAATCAATACATAACACGATGGGGTTTAGACATTTTTCCTTTAACTTTGAGCCAGTTATCAGCAACAAAGATGTCTCTTTGTATTATATACCATAACATTCGATTATTTCTCCAAGTCTACAAGCTTATTTAAGAGATTAAACTCTTCCATATTGGTTTTTATGCTTACTTGATCAATGATGCCTTTATGTAATTAGAAATAATTGAATTTGCAAAGAAATAAAAAAGCGGATTGATGTTTATGTTACATATGATGGGGTCGTAAACACTCCCCAAACTCAGCCAAAGTCAAAGCTTCACTTTATGTTACTCAGCCACGCAGGACAGAAGAGACGACATTTTCAAATCTCAAATAGTAATTTTTGGGGTCAAGAATGCATTGCAACTAGAGGATCTGCCCGAATAAACACAGAAATACACACACACACACACACACACACACACACACACGCACACAGAGTTATCTGGAGTAAAATATAAAGTTAGCTTCTTGACACCTTAAATTTAGGTTTATCTAATCACAACAAAAGGCTCCATAATTGTCTAGAGAATTGTGATGGTGAAAATGTTAATTTTAAATTAATCAGACACTATGTTAAGCTATGAGGAGTATAATGTGCATCACTGATGATCAATTTACCAGCAGGCTATTGCATCAGGCGCTCTATACAACATAAGGCGTCTTCCTCAGTAAAAGGGAAGGAATGGGAACTTACAATTTTTGAAGCGTTCTATTTGTACTGAACAATCCCATGAGGCATATGTATTATCTTGACTTTACAGAAGAAGAAACCAAGACTCAGTCAGATCAACCAAATCGTCCAAGGTCTTAAAGGGACGAAGGTATCTGGTAGAGATGTGAACTCAGATATGCCTGAACTCAGCCTGCGTTCTCCCTAGGACCCCAGCCTGCCTCCTGGGTCTTGCCCTTTCATCGTCATCCTTTCTGTGCCGCGCTAAAATTGGTACTGAGGCTTGTTTTTCCAAAACATTAGAAACTCATGAACTCATTGAATTTTGGGATATGAAGTGCTCTTGGAAATCTACTGTAATTCTTTTCTTTCTTTTAACAATCTTTATTGTTTTAAATAGACAAATAATAATTGCATATAGTCATGAGGTGCATAATAATTTTTTGATACATGTATCATGATAAAGTCAGGGTAAATTAGTCTATCCTTCTTCTCAAACACTGATCATTTGTTGTTTTGGGAACATTCAATATCCTCTAATTCTTTTAGAATTAAAAGAAGGAAAATCTGACGTTCTGGGAATGGGTCTGAGTTGCCTGGAGAGTCTGAGGCGGACCAGAGAGAGCCAGGGCGAGAACTCAAGCCTTTTTGTGTGTCCCTACATTTTCCCTTAGGTTTTCTGAATTTATGACTTTACTCCATGAATACTATCTGGGGGGCAGGAAGGGTGTCTCAGTCTTTGGACCTCAGACATTCACATTCACCACCCTTCACCCACTGACTCATTACTCAGTGCTCCCTGACCAGTGGTCTGGCTCCATTTCTTCTGTTGATGGGTCACAAGACTTGTAGTATTATTTTTACTTCCTTTGAGGTGATTTTCTTGTTTTGTTTATTTCTTTTTGTTGATTTCTGGGTCTCTTTGCATGGTACCTCTTCTCACCTACTTAAGTCCTCTCTGTTTTTCTCCTGAGGGCCTCATAAAAGCTAGATCTATGCAGGCAATGCAAGGCAATCTGACCCACTTATTTTTTTCTGCCTCAGTGGGGCCCAGCAATGTGTTCAGAACAGCAAAGAGAATAAACCTTTTGTTCCCCTATGCAGTGGATGAGGTAGTAAGGATGATCAGGGTAAGGGAAAGCTAGGAAGCGTCCCTGGAAGGATGGGGCTGAGCCGAGCAAAGGAAGCCTTAGGTCTCTTATGCTTGAATGAAACAGAAAGCTTTTAGAGACTTGCTTTGGATGTTTACAGAAAGGAGAGCAGGAATGCAATTCTTTCTATATGGACGAAAAGAGATATTTGCACATAGTCTTCATATATTTTTGCAAATAATCTTCTACACCCACTTTAGAGAGTTTGGGGCATCACACATTTCATTTTGGTGATGTCAAATCAGACAGAGTCTCTGATTTTTTCCACATTGATGAAATGTAATGGATTATTTTTCTTTGCATGGCTCAGGAAGGAGAATGCAGGCTATTCGTCCCCGACTCCATCTCAACCTGAGTACATCCCTTGCTCCAGGAGGAGGTAGCCAGTGTAGTCACCTGTGATGTGCCCAGAGCCCCAGTAAGTCAGGGCCTAATGGAGAGATGGCCAGGGATGAATATTAGGAAATGTCCTCCCAGTGATACCCAGGACAGGCAAGATAAGTCAAGACAAGGAGGCCTTGCCTTAGAGCAAGAGGGATGTGTGTCAAGGTAGAGGCCGGGCTGGATTTCTGAAGACCTGGATTCTGGCGTGGGGCCACCACCCCTCACTCTGTGCCATGGGGCACATCCTGGGATTTATTAATCTCATAATTTCCTGTTTTGTAAAATGGGAACTAGCTGGAGAAAATTATTATTTAGATTCCCTTCAAGCTCTTTAACACTTTGGCCTTATTCAAGAACATAAATAGAACATTGGGGCTGTGTACCTGCAGCTAGCAGCAGAGTGCTGACAAGATGGGGGTTATGGAAGCCAGAGATTCAGAGCAAATGCTGTGGGCTGTGGAGGAGGAAGTTCATGGCCATAGCGTTAGGGCTCTGGTTCTTTGACGTGGCTTGACTGGGAGCGCATTTTGTGACCATAGGTAAGACACTGAAACTGCTTGGTCCTCAGTTTCCCTAGCTGTTAAACAACGGGGCAGAACCGTTTAGTATCTAAGTTTCCTTAATGCTAAAATACTCCATGGCTTCTTGGCTTTATTTTCTTCTTCTCAAAAATACTCAAAAGTCACGCTACAGTGAGTATTTTATGATAGAAATAAAACAATGTTGATTCAAAAGCAGCAATAATGAAACTTGTTTCCTCCACTTTCACTCCTGGTTTTTCATTCCTACCAGAAAATAAGAACATGCTGGCTTTGATTTTATTTTATGTGTGTGTTTATGAATAGCCTCTTTTTCTAGACAATCAGATCTCCCCGGGCAGGCCCCACGTCTCTGAATCCTGTCTTCCTGCATTGCCAAGCTGTGCACCGAGGCACTCGGTGAAAGTTTGCTGAATGGACTCTCCTTCGGTCAGGGCTTTCTCCTTCACCACTCACAGCCTTCCCTAGTAATTACAAAGTGTCAGCCTTATGGTTATGATGAGTTGATGCTGTGGTTAAACGACATAAATGCTTCTTTGGCCTGGGATGACCAGGCATCTTTTGAGACTGGATTGTAGGAGCACCAGGAATCTGGATCCTGTATGTGTCAGTGCGATTGGGCTGGCAAGGGAGAGTGAGACAAGAGTAGGGGAGCGGGGGCTGCCAGGTATAGTTGGTTTCTATAATCAGTTCCAATTATACGAGGTGAGGTACAAAGCATTCTCTGTCTTAACACTGGGAACAGCGTGCCACTGAGGGAGAAATGGCACACTCTATTGATCAGAGCACTGTGAAAATGCCCTGAGTTAAAAGAGGCAAAGAAGGAGAGATGGAGCCTTGCAAAGACCGAGTAGGTGTGGCGCAGTGAAGCGCAGGAACTCTTCCTTGTCCTTGGGATGCCTTTCGGATTCAGTGTCTATGTGACATCAGAGAGAAGATCGTACGGTTCAGCCAAGCGGTAATTGCATAGCCCACACACGCTTTGAATCAGGATCCATTACAAATAATGGGAGAGAGTGACACCCTGAGTCTGGGTGTGCAAGGAAGTGGAGCAGGGGAGGGTTAGAGAGAGATGGGTAAGGCCCCCTCTTAATGATAATTAATGTCAGTGAACGCTGCTGGGCGCAGGCCCTGGTCTGTATTCATGAGGTGTGGGGGAGTATTGATTTTTTTTTATGGAGATGCTGGAGCTGAAAATTTTAGAGAGGTACTCATGGTCCTCATTAATATGCAGGTTGGATAGTGGCTACTGAGAGCTGAGTTTAAGACAGAGACAATCTATACCGGTCATTAAAAGAACCACAGTCTAATGGGCACATCTATTCTGGCTCTCTCGGTTTTAAACATTCCTCCCGATACTTTCACCCTTAAAATCCAGTGCTTAATTTAATATATTTGAGGGTTTTTAAATAAACAACACAATCACTTATATTCTTCACATGTTGATTACTTAATTTCGTAAGTCTTCATCATTTACATGCTATTATACCCTGTTATTCCATGCTTTAAGTTACAAATTTTGGGGCACTTATTTTCTCCTACTTTTTATCCGTCAGCTGCATTTATTTTATTTCAAGAATCACTTGGTTGTCCCAAAGGCTTGCACTGTTCTGAGATGCCAGAGGAGACCAGCAGGATTATTATTTCTCTTTACCTATGCTACCAACTGTTATGGTCCCACCTACCCAGGAAATCTGGCTCTGAGATCTGTGGACATTATCGTCACACAAATTAATTAAGTAGCTTCTTGGCTAACATCATTCATTATTTCAGTTACAGGAGCTTAATTAGAACAAGAAGTAAATGTACTTGACACCCTAGGTTTTTGATCCCCAAAGCTGTAGAAAGAAAGAAGGCAAGCTTATAAGGAAGCCTGAGCCTCATTTGGCTGTTCCTTGACCAAGATTTGAATGGGGGTGCTGTTAATTCTCAGGTTGGGGTGGCAGTTATGCAGAGGACACATGGCCGAGAATGACAGGGAGAGCAGAAAAGGGTGTGGGGCCCAGGGCTGACCCCTCCAGGGACATCATTGTGCTGTCATGAATTACCACAATATCAGACACTTGTATTTAAAGGTAAGGAAAAGAATACATTTCAAAGCTGAACTTAGTGCTTTTGGCAGTAAACTGCTTTAAAAATTATCCGTAACTTGATTTCTCCATTAGCACACTTAATAAAGAGTTGGCTTTGTCTAGTGGTGAAATGTGTTTTCTTTTTTCTAGCCTATAAAAGCTCTATACTTTAACCGTAGAGAGACGGTTATTTTTAAAAGCTCCTGGGTTCATTCTTACCGAGGGTTCCTTGCCAGAAAACTGAGGCACCGGGCATTGGGCCGCTGTCTGCCATTCTGCATAGTGGTCGCTGCAGAAGGTGACGTTGTGCAGAGAGAGACTGTCTTGGGTTTGGCCGCGAACGATCCGACTTGTTATTTAAGAAAAGCAAAACAAAACAAAAAACCAAAAACGTCAAGCCGATTTTCAGCTGTCTTGTTATCCCACAGATAGACATTCTACAGCGAACTCTGAAATAACACTTCCGCTCCTTCAAACTTGGGCTGCCATTCGTTTCCCCCGGCTTCTTTAAAAATAAGCATTTAAGAAGCTTCGAGTAACTTTGAAGATCCCAGAAAAGAAGTGCCCCTCTGTGGTATCCTGTGTTAAATTGGAAGTGTCTAGATGGGAGAATTCATAATGAAGGGACATTGTTTGAACACATCCTTTTGTAGACTGTTGAATTTAATTAGGTTTCATCTGGTCCTGATTGCTGATTTGGGCTAATTGGCTAACTTCGTACTATTTGGTTCTTTTGCAGATTTATACTTCTACCTTCTTAGTTTGTTTCTGAGTGCTTAGAAGTCTTCAAGTGAAGAAGTCAAAAGAAGTGCCCTGAAAACTGGTGTTTTTTCCCCCGAGTGACCACCAGCAAGTCAGCGTTTATCTTGGTCAAAATAGGTCACAATGGAGTGTGTCTTCAAGATGGTATTGATACATTTAGGAATGGAAAGAGAAGGCAGTCTTAATGAATGGAGCACTGGGCAAAGAGTCCTCTAGTCCTGCTCTATTGGTTTTGCCATGAGTGCACTCCTGAGGGACTTTTGCTTTGACACAAGCTCCTAGAGTTCCTCCCTGGTGCACAGGCAGCAAAGCCCAAATTGTCGAGGTTGGGGAATCTGGGAATTGTTCAATTCCTGGGTGTCTGTGAATAAAATGCATTGATCTATTTAGAGAAACATGGTACTCTAGACTGAGGAAGCTTAGCATCACACAGACTGGCATCCTGGGCAGCCTGTGGAGTGGAGTGGCCCCTGTTACATCACAGGGCATGGGAGGAAGGAGCAGCAATATGCCCTTAGAAACAGCTTGGTGTCAGCTAGAACTGACATCTTGGCCTTTGTCCCAGGCTGTTTTACGGAAGCCATCCAAACTGGATAACGTCCCTCTGAATTAGATGAGAAGAGCTATCTGTAAATCTCCGATGTACAAATGATGCCCAGACGTAGACAGGGTGAATAGTAAGTGAGAGTCAGAGGAAAGATTCCAGACACGTTAACACTTTCATTCTCAGTCTGTAGGCAGCATTCCCCATAGTGTCTGAAAGAAGCCTCATCTCATTCCACAAAAGCTGTATCTTTTAAAAATTTTAAACTTTTCAAATGTCTTCATCTATGCCATCCCGTAATAGGAAGATTAGTGGGCCTTAACACATTCCAATAATCCTACTTTCACTTGGCACTTTGTGTGGAATTTGCAAATTGCTTTCGCCGTAAACAGTAGCTGTAGAATACTTCACACTGAGAAGATTAAATGAGGCCCTCATTCTAAAATAAGCCTTTCAACTAGGTTAGAATGACTAAAAAATTTCATCTTATGAGATGTTATTTGGATATCAAAAATATCTCCAAAAAAACACTGCCCATTGAAATTCTCTTGTGCTTCTGCAACAGGGTGTGGATGCAGGGGATGTATGTTTGTGGGGGACAGACATAATGTCTGTGAAGACGGCTTCTAGACTAGCCTGGATTATAAGTAGCCTCATAAACATGCTGCAGGGGTTAACAACCCCAGCGTCAGGGGCAGAATCAGCAGCAGAAAGGGAGGACTGACAATCTCTGAGTTGGAACACACTGGGGCAGTAACAACCACCTTGCCCACCGCAAGAATGAAAAGGAATGGTGAGATTTCCACATTCAGAAGAGCCAATCTCAGAGATTTCTAGTTGAAAGAGAATGGAAAGCCTCTAGCGAGGCAGCAGAGTACAGGTGAACGTGGACTGACCCGGTCACTAAGGCTCAACATAGGCACAGGCTGTCTTTTAGGGTAAGACACTTCCTCCTTGGAGAATGTGTTTGTGTCAGCCAGCTGAGGGAAAATGGGGGGGCTCTTAGGCATGGGCAGTGACAACAGCAGAACTGTGACCCCTTTCCAGAAGTGGGGGGCAGAGAAGAAAGGAGCATTAAGGGTGAGGAGGGAGACTGGAGGGAGAAGGGAGACTGACTTGCAGAGGGTCAAATCCCACAGCGTTGCGCTTGGGCCCCACATGGCACCCAGCGTCACCAAGGTGTGTGTGACTTCCTAGGTCATGCCACTCTGCAGCTATGCACTGGCTCTTCCAGGTCTTGGCAGAGTCGGAGGCCACCTCTGGGACAAGAACCTCCCCGCTCAGCAGTGGAAATAGTGGGAGAATGAGAGTGTGAAGAGGGTATTTTGCTCAGTAGGAACAGAGGAGTTGCTGCTAGCAAGCCAGAAAGGGCATTAGCCACAGTGCCGGCCATGTTCTTGCTGGTGTTGATGGTTTAATTCATAAAACGGAAGACCTTTTCTTCCAGAGCTTGCTAAACCAGAGTAAAGGCTTGATGGTCTAAAGACGGTGTCCTAGATCTGACTCTGCTGTGTATTCATCATGGGACCTTGAGGGCCTCACTTAACCCTCAGAACACCCGCCTCCTCGCTATGAAATGGGGGCGACAGCACCTCCTCTATGCGACAGGACTGTCACGGGGGTCAAGTGGAACATGCATATGCATGTGCTTTGAAAATTGTAAAATGGGAAAAAAGGCATAGTTTTTGAAATAATTAAAAGGGACAAGCTAGTTCACAGACAGCAATTGATTCATTAGTCCAGGGCCATTTATTAATATTTAAAGGATTGAAAAACATTATATACGAGGGTGATCACATTAAGGACTATGCTGGCTTCCTGATGAAGAGATGAACCGTATCAGGTGGGTACTGAATCCCAGCACAGTGTTTTATGGGATCTCTGAGCAAAATGCAATCAGAGAGAACAAAACGGAATCCTAGAGGTCAAATGGGGGAAACTGAGGCCCAGAGGACCTGAAGGGCTTGCTCTGATAACTGGTGGCAGAGCTGGATCTGGACCCCACACCAGACTGCCCATGCCATCCATCATCCCTGCCCAAACACCGGGTTTCCTAGTTGATGGTTTTGGTTAAGCAGAAGTGAAATCTGGGTGTCAAAAATAAATATCCTGAGTAATCCCACATAAATTGGATTGTTGAACAGGTACTGAATGAAACATAGATCTACCATCATCCAGCATTCATTAGAATTCCTGAATCTTATAAACATGCCAAGAGTCACTAACAGAGTAATTGAGGAAAAATAAATATAATACTTCACCATCTATGTAGCTTATTTTCAATGTTACTGAAGAAGTGTTTGCCACAGTCAATGTGCTTTTCACACATTGTACGAGTCCTTTAGTCACTGCACGCCGGGCTCCTTCATCTAAAGGACTTTCTAAGATTATTTTGGGATTCTCTGAGATAAAAACCTCTCGCGGTGAGCACAGTATGGACTTACCCTGTCCCATGGATAGCCAGGCTGAGGAAGAAGACGATGAAAACATGGTGTATGTACCAGAACAACTCATAGGAGACCTGTCTGATGAACTCGGTGGAAGATGTCAGGATTAATACTAAAGCCAGAGAGATCACCAGGCCGGTGACGCCTGCTATTGTCCTTAGCAATTCAGTGGCTGTGTTCTAAGAAAAAAATGAATGCCATGACATTAAATATCCTGGTATATTTTTTTCATTTTTAGGACCAGTACTTGAGATCTCAAGCAGGGAGCCATGCAAAATGTTTCACTCAGAAGCGTGTTAAACTCCACGAGGATGCAGGCACAACTCAAGAAGTGAGCCTCCTCTTCCTCCCCCTTCCCACCAACTTACAGTGGTGGCTATTTGCTTTGCTCAAATTTCATAAAATACCATTTCATCAATCACATTTTTTACTTTATATAAATCATTTCACATCAAAGTTATTATGCTGAAAAAAAAAATAAATTTTTAAAAATACTGGGCATGGTGGCTTGAACTTATAGTCCTAGCTACTCAGTAGGCTGAGATGGGAGGATCACTTGAGCCCAGGAGTTCGAGGCTGCCATGAGCCACGATGCTGCCTCTACACTCCAGCCTGGGAGACAGAGTGAGACCCTGTCTCTCTAAAACAACAATAACAACAACAACAAAATGGGAAAAAAGAAAAAAAAAAACAAAGCAATTATGTTGAATTGAAATCAGGGCAGCATATGAAAAGAGCATTTTAAGATAAAACATTGCAAAATAAGTCTGAGTTTTAAGTTTTTAATTTTTAAAATAACTATGTGGCTCACCACGCTTAATTGCATTTTAACATTAATAAACACATTTTTTCGAGAGGTCCCTTGGGGCGTTCCTAATAAAGCAGCTGCACACTCAGTTCCCCTGGTAGTTATTCCTGGCTCTTGCTTTTTAATTGGAAAGACCATGACTTGCATTTCTTTCACGCCATCTCAGGGGGCCTGGAATAAGGCTTGGTAAATCCTAGGTGATCAATAAAGGCACAGCTATTCTTATCTGGCGGACACCGCTAAATGGCCAGAATTCTGACCTGTGAGTGCAAGGGACAGTTAAGTGGCCTTTTAGCATATACATCACACAGCAGTTAGTTTCCATTGTGAGTTTCCCATGTTCTTGCCAAGTCATTAGTATTCATACATTGCGTTACTATCGTTGAGACGGGCCACAAGCTCAATAAACTCATACTATATCTTTTGTCAGTAAAATCTCATTAATTTGGGCTGCTTTGAGATCTGGAGGTAATTTGGATAGGGACTTTTTCATTGTTTATTCTTTCTTCATAGAGCAAAGAGTGGAAATGAAATTGAAAGGAGTATGTCTCAATCATTTAAAATATTTTCTTTTCAAGTACATTCAGGCATTTTAGAAATCCATTTACATCATATGATGTGCCAATTTCACATCATTCTTATTTGCCTGTTAAAGCAAGTCTCCAGTTCTCTGTTCTTGCAGCACATTTATAGACTGGTTAGTGTTGCAATGTATCCTCCAAAACAATCCCACTGCATCTCTAAAAATGCTCTGTAATGTACACTCTGTGTTATTGATACTCATCTCTCTCCAAATACCCTAAATTAGAGGGTTTTCTGAGCCTAATTAGTACTTACATAGTATATTGCCTCTAAAATTTTGAAATTACTGCATTAATAGTAGCTTAATTATTTTGCTATTAAAATACATGATTATATTGCTTGAAAAGTATTTATAATAAATACTATTTATTATATAGACTATGCAAAACGTTGAGATTCATTCTTGAATGTGTGAAGCAATGAGTTTTCCAGCATCTTAGTGGGGGAAAACAGTAACCTCAGTAGGTACTCGGACAAATGCTGTGATTCAACGGAGTGACACCAAAGGCATTCCACATGCTAAGGACAGCTGTAGTTCTGATTGGTAAGTGTGAAATTTGTGCTTCCAATAGCTGTCAGCTAAGAAAAGGTAGCTCGACTAAACCTGATCAATGGCCTGATATCGAAAATCATCTTAGGCTAATGAGCGGACATGACATAGAACAAGTGTCCCAAAACCAGATTTTGAGTTTTTGTTCTTTAAATAAGGCTGCATGGGCAAATAGTCACTTAAAGAAATGACCGGGATAAGAATGGAGAGATTTTTTCACTGCCAAAGGGTATTGCCTCAGGGCTTTTCCTGGGCAGTGAAGATTTTTTAGCCTGGTCAACATGCTGCACACACATGCCAATAAGGCAGTACCTGGAGAAAAATTGAGATCAACCGCAAAGAACGAGATAGGGGTGAATTAAGGAGATGACTGTGATCATTTCGAAACACAGACTGCTGTGGCTATATTTTTGGTTTTCTTTTTGTTCCCCAGAACTGACACTGTCTGCACACTGGTAATTAGCATTAATGGTGTCACCGGCCACGCAGGTCTCGTTATGAAATTAGCTGCTCTGCCCAGTATCTGATCTGGCAAACCAGCTCTTCACATATGTGCCAATGTATGAGGCATTCTGAGAAGAGTCCTGGGAAGCAATCTGCAAATTGAAAATGAAGACATCCAATTTACAATCTCTGGATTTAGGCGGCACTTCGCATTCTTCATGAGTCTAACATCAGCAAAAAAAATATCTAATCATGAATATTAGTAATTTAACGTTACTGCATTTCTTGGGTGTGTATTAATTAAGTGACATCTTTCTCTCCTTCCTCATAACCTCCTAGCAACATTAATGATAAAAAAAACAACGTTTTAGAAAATGTGAATTAAGAAAAAATCATATGTAAATTCACTTTCCAGTTGTTTCGTTAAAAGAGTTTCAGTATAGCGTTCCTGATTAGAGGATTGGAAAAGGAAGGATTTTTCAGGGGAGAAGCTGGTTAGCATGCAGGACTCACTGCGGGGAAGGTCCGGACAGGGTTGAGGTAGCTCTCATTAGGGGTGTTGCCCAGCTTGGAAAGTGCAGCCAGGAGTCCCTCGGCCTCCTCCGACTGGCTCCAGTGGTAGCGTTCCAGGTTGAAGAAATGAGCCACGACGTGGATGGCTAGGATGAGGACACGACACAAACATGCACTCTGTGGCTTGCTTCCTCCCTATTTACTAAAAAATACAATGTCTCTGTGCTTAAATTTCTCTTTTCTGGTTTTTCACTTTTCACTCCAAGGGAATGTGATTTATGTACACATCTTTCCCAGTGCTTTGAGCCGAGTGGATGAATACTTCCAATGATATTGTACAATTCTCCACATTCATTTAAATTATATCAATAAATAAAGTAAATCTCAGTTCACTATAATTTAAAGTGTATAGTTATCATGGAAGTGGAATAAATGTTATGATGTCTCAGCATAACTATATATGTTATGATTCTAAGAGAAATAATTATATGTTAACTTCTTAAGAAGTCGGAAAGCATTATTTGAGAATACTGTACATTATATATGCTGATATATATGTATATGATATAAATGATAGATACCAGGAGAGACATTGTTTTTGTTCTCTTTCAGACACTGCATTTTCTGTTTATTCCTTTACATATTTTAGTATACAGTAGTCCTCCCAATCTAGAGTTTCACTTTCCCTGGTTTCAGTTACCCAAAGTCAACCACAATGAGAAAATATTGAATGGAAAATTCCAGGAATAACCAATTTGTGTTTTACGTTGCATGCCATTCTGAGTAGCATGATGAAATCTCACGCCTTCCTGCTCTGTCTCACCTGGGATGTGAATCATCCCTTTGTCCAGCACATCCAGTAGCCCTCTTGGTTGTCAGATCAGCTGTCACAGTATCTAAGTGTTTGTGTGCAAGTCATCCTTATTTTTCATAAAAATGGCCCCAAAATGCAAAAGTGGTGATGCTGGCAATTTGGCTATGCCAAAGAGAAGCCATCAAGTGCTTCTTTTAAGTGAAAAAGTGAAAATTCTCTACTTAGTAAGGAAAGGAAAAAAACTGTATGTGGAAGTTGCTAAGATCGACGGTAAGAACAAATCTTCTACCTGAAATTGTGAAGAAGAAAAATGACATTTGTGCTGGTTTTGCTGTCACCCCATAAACTGAAAAAGTTACAGCCACAACGCATGATAAGTGATTATTGATGATGGACAAGGCATTACATTTGTGGGTGGAAGACAAGAAAAGGAACATGTTCCAATGGACGGCAATCGGGGTCAGTGTTATCTACCGTTTCAGGCATCCGCTGTGGGTCTTGGAACGTATCTTCTGCAGACAAGGAGGGACTACTCTACATGTATATATACCCCTGCACATACACATTCACACATAAATTTGCATGTGTTATTTCTGGTGGATTGAAATAAACCAGTATTTATGGAACTAAACACACCTCCTGTATATTCTTCAAAAGTAAATGGAGCTTTCTAATTCTGGGAATTGGTGGTGTCTAAATTCTAAACGAAGAGAACAAGCTTAAGAACACAGCATCATCTGGCCTGAGGATTCTGTGTCTGATGTTGCTCTTTCCAAATCTGTTGGGGAGCCAGCAGTCACAGCTGGACAATGACATACGATGCTTTTCGTGCAAATGAAACTCCTGCTGGGCGGCCAGTTGATAACTGATACTGGGATCAGATTCAAGTGTGAAATAAGGATTCATTGCCCAGGGTATAGATAATTTCCCAGTTGATAGCTTCTTTTCTTCTGCACCCACAGTGAGAAGTAGCAGGGCCTGTAACTATCATACAGGTTGTGAGTTATGGGGTCCTCCATGGCTGTACATTGTGGGTTGAGGTGTGGAAGAGAGTAAGATGGGGAAAAAGGAACAGCAGGAACTTCTGAGAATGGTGGTGTCATTTTGGTCCCTGTGGTCCTAGCAGCAGACTTATTTAGAAATGCTATCTTCTGTGCAGTCTCTTTTCTTTGTCACCTGAGTTCCCGCTATCACTCTCTTTTCCGATTTGCAAGATTTTCTACTCATGCCTTACAACCCATTTCAAAAGTTGATTTCTATCACACATTCTTCAATTTTACCAGCACAAATGATAGTATGATCACAGCATGTCTTAGTTATTATTGTTGCAGTGTTTACTTCCCTGCATTCCCTGATGGACTTTGACTCCTCAAGGATGGCCTTTATTTGTCTTGAAATCTCAGCACCAAGCACATTGCTCAGTACCAGTATTTGACAATTATTTGCTTAGTGACAGTGAGATTACAGAAAGGTAGAAGGGGTAAAGAAAGGGTCAGAAAATCAATCTATAGATGCAACCTTGTTTGGAGTAGTGTTTTCTCTGCTGATATATACATATTTTGCACATTTTTCTTTAGCCTTGAAGTTGAAAATCAGGTCAAATACACTTTAGGATGAGGCTCACCCAAGAAGGCAAAGCGCGTGACAGTGTTTCTGCGTGACGATGTTTACTGCCTCCTTATGGCCTCAGAGAGGTTAGCACCCATGAGGTACTGTATTTCCTCCCGAGGTGCTTTGTCAACATATATGGCCATGTCTATGAAGGGGCTGCCTGTTTAGCCTCAGCATCCACAAAGCTGGAAAGGCTTATCTAGCAGTAGTCCTTTCCAATATGCTACGTGCAAAATGAAAACTATTTGCTAAGTTGAACACAAACATTGCCCAGTATTCCTAATTGCTGTTTTCTGATAATTACCTCAAAGTCTTTAAAAAGCATGGCTAACATATTGAATGTTTACTGTGAGACAGACCCTGTTATAAATGCTGTAGACATATTATCTGATTTAACCCTCCTCAGGTATCAGCCTTCTTCTCATTAAACAGACCCGTATCCAAAGAGTTAAGGAATTTATTGTTCATTAGTGATGAAAGTGGTTTAGTGGTTTGTGTGACTCAGCGCCTTATCTTTTGACCATTTAGTGGCATTGCTTCGTTTGACTAATGGACAATTATCATATCTGATTTTTAATTGAAAACTAGCTTTTTTTCTATGGGCTTAGATAAAACTCTGAATGGTTTACCTGGTGTCTTTCTTTAATCTAGAGTCCAACTGTTTCTAAGGCTTATGACTGATGACGACATTTAGAGTTCTCATAGTAGGCTGGCGTGAATGCTCCTCCTATATTCTGCCCCTTGACCCTTACTCCTCTCCTCCTAGCTTTCTCTAATTCTCTCTCCATGGACTACAGCACTCCAGACAGGGAGTGAAGCTGTTCCCAATTCACAGAAATAGAAACTGAGCTTCGGACCCATTAACTGATGTGTTTACCATTGCATAATCCATGTGTGATAGTCAGAAAGAGAAGGCAGGATAAGTATTTTATATTGTATAATATTTTTTATTTATTCATTTATTTATTTTGAGATGGAGTCTCACTCTGTCACCCAGGCTGGAGTGCAAGGGCGGGATCTTGGCTCACTGCAACCTCTGACTCCCAGGTTCAAGCAATTCTCCTGCCTCAGCCTCCCGAGTAGCTGGGATAACAGGTGCATGCCACGATGCCCAGCTAATTTTTAGTAGAAATGGGGTTGCACTATGTTGCCCGGGCTGGTCTTGAACTCCTGAGCTCAGGTAGTCTGTCCTCCTTGGACTCTCAAAGTGCTGGGAATATAGGCGTGAGCCACCGTGCCTGGCCTTATATTTTCTAACGTTGTTCTCCCCTGTAATGAGCTGTGGTTTGCAATTTGTTTTCTGTTAGATTGATTTCCACAGGAGAATTTGACACTGTTAAACTAAATTTAAGTATGTTGTTTGAATAAACAAAGATACTGAACTATTTATTTATTCTTATTGCCAGGTGTCCCATCACAGAGCTGAAGATACTGATGAACAAGTTCGTGAAAGCCCCAGATGCTTTTCAGAAGGCAGCTTTTGAGGGAATGTGTAAAAACTATTCTCTCCAGTATTTGCCACTCACTTTAAAGTTCCTGTCTTACATGTTCCCTTGCTCCCGCTCCCTCTATTTTGTTTTCCTTTTACAAGGTAGAAGGTAAAACGTGGAATGTTTGATTTATCTCTGGAATTCTCAGAGCACAATGCTTATGCCTATTTTGTGTGTCTAAACATTATCTTTTCCTCTTAGATCTGATCCTAATTTTACAGCGATCTTGGCTTGGAACTAAAAATACACCAACCGCTAAATTCAGAATTGTTGTGACTTGACAGATAGCAGGGCAGATTCATTTTTGCTTATTTTTAGACATTACATTTTGTATTCCTTCCTTTCTATGTTTTAGGTTTTAAAAAATATAAGTAGCCATGCTGTCTATGTTACAGGGACAAAGCTACAGAGACAGGATAAGACAGTGACATGGTTTGATTTTTCTCTTAGCCATCAATATCATTTTCTGTTATTAGATTTGATATTAGTATGTAACAGAAAAAATACTGAAGAGAATACTTCTCAGTCACTTCTTTCAGGCCCTTTTTTCCCATCTGTGAAATGGGTAGATTGTACTAAACAATGTTCTAAACCCCCTCCCTTCCATCTGTGTGGCTCCTGTGTCATCCTCTGAAGTTAACCGGGAGCATATTTATCATCTAAAAGGGATTTGTAGACCAATATGGAAGTAATACAAACACGAAGCTCATATTTTCATGTTTCCAAAGTCAACTCTGGCTTTAAAGGAGCTCTTCAGCCTTGCAGTAAATCCAACGTCATTAGCTATGCGGGTGAGCTCTTCCTGGGCCTCTGTGGACTTTCTACAGTATGCACTGCTGTGCCCTTGGAGGACTGCAAGACACACATTTCCATAACCCACCCAATTGTGCCAGGCTAAAAGGTTGCTATAACTGGATCATTCTACAATGTTATGTTCTCCCCGAAGTACTTCGAAGAGAGCAGCAGTTTTGGAAACACTACACATGTGCATTTAATTGGTGTGTGAACTTCCGGGCTCAAATAAGGAGCTTCCATTGAAGAGTGAACGAAAACAACAAAAAACCATAAAGGCTGCTATTAGAGCCAGTGGCCCTGAGAAAGCTCTTTTACCCTCCTTCTTTCTTTCATTTTATTTTTCAGGAGACCAGAGGGAGCATAACTGAGGGGAATCTTGGAGGTGTGGTCAGTGCTTGCTGTCTTTCTGCCCACCTGTCAGGGATAACAGTCATTTTGGAGTTAGCCACCTCCTAATCAAGCACCCTTTAGAAACAAGGACCTGGAGACCATCATTCTCAGCAAACTGACACAAGAACAGAAAATGAAATACCACATGTTCTCACTCATAGGTGGGTGTTGAACAATGAGAACACATGGACACAGGAAGGGGGCACTACACACTGGGGTCTGTTGGGGGGAATAGGGGAGGGACAGTGGGGGGTGGGGAGTTGGGGAGAGATAGCATGGGGAGAAATGCCAGATATAGGTGAAGGGGAGGAAGGCAGCAAATCACACTGCCACATGTGTACCTATGCAACTATCTTGCATGTTCTTCACATGTACCCCAAAACCTAAAATGCAATAAAAATAAAAATTTTAAAAAAAGAGAGAAAAAAAAAAAAAAGAAAAGAAACAAGGACCCAGGGACAGATTCTGGCTGTGCTTCTGCAGCCAAAATTTGGCTGCAAACTTTTAAACCTGTGGTCTGATTTTGGTAGGAGGATTCGTTGACTCTGGCACCCTATGCATGCCACGCATTTGTGAATCACATTAAATCCTGTCGTGCAGGACTGGGGATGGAGCCTCCCTGGAGCTCCCAGTGGCTCAGGCAGAACTGGTTAGGAGCGATTCTGGAGGGGTCAGGACTGAAGAGTTTGCTCCTTTAGGGCTACTCTCAACCGTGGGTCTCCAGATCTTTATTTCCTCGGCACCCTTATTCTGTGCTTTCTCCTCTCACCCTGCCCTTGTTGTGTTTATTGATGTTTGTAGACTAATTTTAGCAACTCATCAGGAGCTGCACTCGGGTAATTGTTCACTTCTGGAACCTGGCGGAAGCAAGCTGCTCACTCTGCCAGGGAGAGCTGCCTGAGCCACTATTTAGACACCCCTTGATGGAAGCTCGAGCTCCAAGTACTACTTTTCAATTGGAAGGGTCTTCAAGGTCTGCTGTGGACCAGGCACTCCAGAAAGATCTGCATTAATAAGAACGAAGAGGCTGTGAAACTACGATTTTTATACCTATGGGGTTACAGGTCCCTGAAAATGATTTATTAGTGGTTGAAGAATGCTCCGGCAGCTCTTATCATAGGCAGACAAGCAGGAAGGCAGGCAGCCAAAAGAAGAGTTCCTGTCACTGCATTTTCCCCCCGATGTCCTTGATTACAGATACCATTGTTTTGCCTCTTCCCTCCTCCTCCCTCGCCTACTTCTACCAGTCTCTAATTACATCCTTTAATGATTTGACCAATTAAAGCCTGCAGTTCAGCTTATAGGGGAACGGATGAGAAATTAGAGGTTGGCACGCAAACTTCGATGTGGTCGCACTTTTTCCAAGGTTACACACCTCTATTAAGCCAGCCGGCTATTTGAAATGCAGCATAATGGGCGATGCTAATAAAATAAGTGCAGGGACATTTTCAGCTGCTCCCAAGTGAATCTACCAGAAGAACAAAATGTGAAACGCAGAGGTGTTTCCATGAAACCCAGGCTTAGCGTTTTTTTTTCTCCTAAAAGTGCAGTTGCCAGATGCATTTCTCCGTTCATGTGAAATGTTATAATTGCTTTGTCAGGGTTTGGGAGAAGCTGAGAGCTTTCTCCCCAGCCTCCAGCCTTTGCAGGGAGTGGGAACACCGCAGCGCTGGTGGTTGCCATGGAGGATTGGGATGAGGGGCACTTTGCTCTGGTTGCAGTTCTGACCCTGCTGAGGGGGAGCCCCAGGAGAGAGCTGGGAGCCTGGGAAAGCCGTGGGGTTCAGGAGGAAGGGGGCCAGAGAGAACACTTGATTCTCTCCAGGGATGTGTGAGGGAGAGAGGGAGAAAGAGGACCCTGCTTTCTCTGGTTGCGGCAGAATGTGCATAAATATCTTGTACGATTAGCATTGTTTGAATCTTTTCACTCCCCACACTGTTCAGTCCACCCCAGACTGCTCATGACTCCCTGAACAACTCATGCATGTGCGTCCTGTACCATTCCCAGTGATTCTTTCAACCTCTCTTGCCGGCTGGCCGGCTCCTACTCATCCTCAGTTTTGACCAAATTTGTTGAGGTCCCTGTGTACCAGGGACCAGGGCAGCCAAGATGTGCAAGGCACAGGCTCAGCCCTGGAGGTGATCAGCCTCTGGGGAATGAATTTCACTCTGTGGTACAAAGTATGACTTTAGACCCCTTGGTGAAATGGCTGCATCGGGGGAGGTGGGCCAGGTGATGAGTCCTGGGCATGGCCATGTCCCGCCCATTAGCACGCCCAGGAGGGCAGAGCATTTCAGGCAAAGGGGATCCTAGGGGCAAAGGCACGGAACACTCAGGAACTCCCAGGAGCTGGGTGTGCCCGAGGGAAAAGCCAGGGGGGTGTAGCAGGAGACAAGACTGAGGTAGGGAGCACATGCGAGGTCATTGGAGCCCCTGGCCAGCAGGCTAAGGGCTTTGGATTTGATCCTATTTGCAATAGCAGCAAGTGGATGACCCTGTGTTCTGCACATTTCCAACTAGGTCTGGTCCCAACAATAATCTGCACCTCTCACTGAAATGGGTAGATTGTTTCGGTGATTCCTCCTCCTCCCCCAGAATGAGTTTTGCTCTTGTTGTGCAGGCTGGAGTACAATGGCATGATCTCGGCTCACTGCAACCTCCGCCTCTTGGGTTCAGGTGATTCTCCTGCCTTAGCCTCCCGAGTGGCTGGGATTCCAGATGTGTGCCACCACGCCCAACTAACTTTTGCATCTTTAGTAGAGATGGGGTTTCACCATGTTGGTCAGGCTGGCCTCAAACTCCTGACCTTAGGTGATTCACTCACTCCGGCCTCCCAAAGTGCTGGGATTACAGGTGTGAGCCACCACACCTGGCCGGTATTAGCGTTCTTTTAATTCCACTGAAGAAAGCACATGAGGAACTTATGAGATAGCACACTACCAATCAATAGCAGGGACATAAAATAAATTTGTTGCCTGATTTTAGTCAGCTGCTGCTTATACTAAAGTATACTCTATCCTAAAACAGTCCTGACCACACTAGTTTCAGAAAGTTATAGCTGCTATCAGGGTATCTTTAACATGGGGGACATTTATTATATGTTTCTTATGCATTGGTACTATTGATACATGATTACATGAAAAAAATATACATGCCCAAAAGTTTAAGGAGAAAACATTTCATAGCACATTTTTCTTTGCTGTCTTTTTTTTGGTTTGTTTTTTATATGGGGTCTCACTGTGTTGTCCAGGCTGGAGTGTAGTGGCATGATTTTAGCTCCTACAACCTTCACTCCTGGGCTCAAGAGATTCTCCCACGAAAGCCTCCCATGTAGCTGGGACCATAGGCATGAGCCACCACACCCAGCTAATTTTTTTTTTGTATTTTCGGTAGAGACCAGGTTTCACCATGTTGCCCAGGCTGCTCTTGAACTTCTGAGCTCAAGCAATTTACCCACCCCAGCCTCCCGAAGTGCTGGGATTACAGGCATGAGCCACCATGCCCGGCCTCTTTTCTGATGTATTTTGGTGCTGTTTCTCTCCCTTCTCTCTGTAATATCTTTAAAACTTTCCCTTAGAGTTCCATTCTGTCTTAAAGCATTGTACTGTGATAATATTCTTACCATTTTACTGTGTCATGCAGAAATCAAGCTATTTAAGATTTTAAAGGAAGCCTAGAGATTCCTTGAATTCCTTCCCTGATGAGCCCATCGAGGAGCAATCTGGTCTCTGTTCCGACATCACGCATCACGGGGAACTCAGTACTCTTAGGGGAATTTCATTCTAATTTTAGATAATTTTCAAGGTCCGGAAAAGACTTCCATTCCTGAGCCAAAATCTGCTTCCCTGTCTTTATTCCTTCGTGCATTCGCTCATTCATGAAAGGTTATTGGTGCATACTCGGCACTGTTGTGGGCCTTGGAATACAAAGGTGAACCAGCAGCTGATCTTCTCTAGACACGATGTCTTTTTATTCTTATTTCCTAGCTAGCCACAAAGACCTCTTGCCAAGCAGTTCTCGGGTTGGATTAATCCAGCGTTGAAGACAATCAGTGGGAACATCTCCCCATCATGTCTCGCTGCACACCCAAAGTTGCGTTAATTGGCACTCGGGCACCGTCTGTCATGTCTTGTTGCTTAATTAAATTCACATTTGTTTTGAGCGTTCCTTCTACTCTGCTATTTTTTTTATGCATGAGAGGATAAAAACAAATGAGGAAAACATTTTATAGTTAAATTCGTTTGAGAGAAATAGTCCTGAATCATAACTCTTTATTGTTCAGATAGCCTTTTATTTCAGTGTCTTTGTTTTCCAGCAAAACCACAAGCTGGTTGATGACTGCTCCTCCTCCTTTCTTCCTCATCAGAGTTTAACCTTGGCCTTGGATGCTAATTTCTAGTGCCTTCCTCTTGAATTAGAAATATCATAATAACAATAACACTTCATATGCCGATAAAGCTTCATGTGTTTTCAAGACCCTTTTATATGCATTCCCTCAATACGATTCAGAACTTTACTCCCATGATCTCTCTTTTCTTTTTCTTTTTTACTGCCCAGGATACCATTTGACAGCCATTTTCCGATGACTGTGAATGAGATTCTGAACAGAGGTCAATTTTATTTCCAATGTGAATTATCTTGAATAACAAAGTGTTCCTTTTTCAATTAAGTATTTGTTATTATATTATTAACAAGCTTAACTATTCACAAAGGAAGTTTCACCAACTTTTCTTTGATAAATTGAGGTCTTGGTAGGGGAAAACTCATATGTAAGTATAAATTGAAAATGTAAAAACCCATTTGTATAAGGTTTACAGGATCAGATCAAGGGCAAAGATTTCTTTTATCTGAGGGTGAGACTTGAGGAAGCCGGAGTTAAAACAAAACTATGAAGTTAGGCATCAGATATTGTAAAATCCATCAAGCAATTACTAAGTACTTACCTGCATTAACAGCTATCCCATAGGCGACCAGTTTGTGAAATTTGAGGTTTTTGTCTAATTGCCTCCTCCATGGTCCTCTGCAGCACTACAGTAAGAACAACAAAAAAATGCCTGATTTATGGAAAAATTACGATGAAAACAGTGTCATGCAAGTTAAGAGAGTAGGCATCAGGCGTTGCCTCTAAATGGCTTAAAGTGGGGCTATGTGACACAGAAGTTAATGGCCATTAGTCAAACAGGCAAATCAAAAGGTTATTAGTTGCTTTGCTGAACTCTCAACTCAAAAATGATGGACTTATTAGTTCTCTGGTTATAACTCAAAACTTTTGAATAAATCTGCCAAAATGCATGCCTCACTCAGCTTCTTTGTTTAGAAATTTAAGGTGACAGCCATCATCCTCATCCATGCGTTTTAAGTAGTCTACAGATGATTTCATATTCCATATATGTACAAAGGCAAATATGCATCTCTATATCAATATTGTAAAATTATGATGATGATTATACAGGCACACCTCGGAGATATTGTGGATTTGATTTCAGACCATTGCAATAAAGCAGGTCATACGAAAGTTTTGATTTCCCGGTATATAAAAGTTATATTTATATCATACGATAGTCTTTTAAGTGCACGATAGCATTATGACTAAAAAAACTACATGCCTTAATTAAAAAATACTTTATTGCTAAAAAGTGCTGACACAGAGACACAAAGTGAGCATGTAGTACTGGAAAAAATGGCGCTGATATAATCACTCAACGCAGGGTTGCCAGAAGCCTTCAATTTGTGAAAACTGTAGTATCTGAGAAGTGCGGTAGAATGAGGGATGCCTGCATAATATGATATTTTACCTGGTATAGGTTTTTGAAGGTCCCATTTTCTGAATGCTATCTTTTTGACAGAAAGCACAGGTAAGTTCGTAACACAGTGAAATCAATATAATTGGGAAATATGCCATTATGTTTGGTAGAGGTTAAAATCTAAATACTAAAATCTATGTACTGTGATTGTGCTTTTTGGGATGAGATCCCAGAGGGATGTCTCCTGGTGGCATTTGTCTCAAAAGCGTATTTGTCTTCTTTCAATCAGAAAGGATGATGGTTCCAACTATTACAATGCTTCCATCTTCATGGTGCAAATACATCAGCAAATTGTTGAGCAGTGAGTTCAGTGTCATGTCAGAAATAAATGGCAACAGCAAAGCCACATCAGATAGATGCACTGATTACTGCCTTTCAGATTGAGACTTTCTGTTATCTCTTACCAAAAAAAAAAAAAAAACAAACGCAAGTTTAAACAGAATTCCTGAGAATTTCATAATAAAGTACATTTTTGTTGTCAATGGCACTTATATGAGGAAGTCATAACAACTGAGGTTATTTCAAATATTTTAGTACTTACAATACTTGTTCCTCTTATGAATGAAATAAGGTTTCGACTGATAGGTATTAGAATTAGCATGCAGTTAAAATTCAGGCACAGTGCAGACGCTCGCGCCCAAGCCAGTGTTGACTGTCCATATGTAAAGACATAAAAAAGAGATTCAGGGAAAACAAGGATTCAGGGAAAATAAAATGCATGTTGTTTTCTGAAAAAAAAAAAAAAAAAAAAAAAAATGTTTAATTACAAACTGTACTTACACCCAAAATAACTCGTGTGTAATGGAAAGACTCCTCCTTTTCATACCAGCAGAACGTGTCAATAAACAGATAAAAATTCACTCCCAGCCATGAGAGCTAGAGTAGAAAGAAAAGAGAACAAGTCAATACTACCTTCAAGCTTTTTCTCTATTCAAAGTCGCTTGGGGTTCTTCTTTTAAAGTGGAATGAAGAGTGTCTCAATATTAATCAGAATTACTCCACATATTTATGTCTCATAGATTAGTTTTTAATAAGATTATAATGGTAAGAAATTGTTACCTTTATAAAAAGGATTTTAAACATGTATGAGTCAACTTTAAGTGATTTAATGAAACTACAAACCTCCTTAATCAACATTGCTTGACAATGATGTCAAGAAGGAGGAAATCTTTAAAAACAACTCCAAGAGTTCTCTAGAAAAATTCCAATTTCATAGTCTAATTCAAAGACTTCATCTGATTTAGAGAAACATTCATACATTATGCAAAAACAAACTACTTGACTTTAAAAATAATTAAAAATGAGCTCAATCGGAAAACAACTTTGCATGATTCTATAAGGGTAAATTAAATATATCTACTGAATGTTTTCTAACAACTTTTAGTCTTTTAACTAGAGTAATACTTCACACTATTTAGTGTTCCTATACAAGTTATCCTAAAAATCAAAGACTATTCAATCTGTATATTTAAAGTTGAATAACAAAAATGATACTTACCACTAATATGACAGAGAGACCCTCATTCAAAATCCAGCACCCCATCATGATACTTGTTGCTCTTTGGCTTTCAGCAAATTTCCTTCCCCTCACCTGTGACTGGATGTTGAGTCCTTAGTAAGGGCTTCCCTAGTAAATTATTTTGTCTTTTTGTCATAGGAAGCACCTACAGGGAGCAGCTCTCGAGGAATTTCTAATTAAGGACTTCTTGCCATGGGCACATCACCAACCTGACATGCCTCATGACCTGGGTAAATACAAGGCAAGTCTCTGTCTAATGATTCCTTTCTTCAGAGATTTTATAAGAAAAGAAAGCTGGTTTTATTAAACTGTCCTCATGTACTTTATACCCATTTGTTTTCTACATGATTGCAGTCAAGATGTTAATAAGTCTTTATGTAAATTTGAGAAATAATCTAACTGCTGAAGGCTGCATATAGCAAAGCACTTTCTCTGAAGCTTTCTCTATTTGCAATTTTTTTTTTCCACTTTTTTTTTGAGACAGAGTCTTGTTCTTTCACCCAGGCTTGTGTGAAGTGGCACAATCTTGGCTCACTACAACCTCCGCCCCTCAGTTGAAAGGATTCTCTTGCCTCAGCCTCCTGGGTAGCTGGGATTACAGGCACACACCACCACACCTGGCCAATTTTTGTACTTTTAGTAGAGACAGGGTTTCCCCATATTGGTCAGACTGGTCATAAACTCCTGACCTCAGATGACCCACCCATCTCGGCCTTCCAAAGTGCTGGGATTATAGGCATGAGCCGCCACTCCAGACCATATTTTCTCCACTTCTTTACTCCTTTTTTCCCTCGTTCAAAAAAGTTCTCTATAGAAGAGAAAGAGTGGGGGCTAAATAAATATGAATCAGGCCATCTCTCAGAAGATAGTGATAAAAGATTCTAAAAATCACCAGAGAGAAAGCTCTCATATAAATCTAAAAGGTGATTATGAAAAATGAACTTCTTTGTGGGACTGATGTCATACATCTCATCCCCCCCCCCCCAGTCACCCTTGTTCCACCCCTGCGGCCAGTGCAAACATTCTTTCAGACTCCAGTGATCCCGGGAGGGGCTGAAAGGGAGCCTCGTCCATCTCTGATTGTATGTAAGTCATAGCTGTTCAATACAATGACTACAATTCTACTCTGGTAGGCAAAATTGCCCCACCTAAAGCAATTTTCTGGCTAGTTTTAGCCCAAATATTTCATTAAAATTGTTTTAGACAAGATGAAAATCGGAGGAGATCCAATTTTGGAAAATTAAATTTCCTCCTGTTAAAAACCTGGTAGAGTAAGAATTGTGGATATTCATAGATCTTTATTTACCCAGGTACTATTAGGTTAAGGACTTTTCAAACATTGTCCAGTTAAATCATACATGGACTCTATCAGGTAGATATTTTTTTTTTTTTTTTTTTGAGACGGAATTTCACTCTTGTTACCCAGGCTGGAGTGCAATGGCGCGATCTCGGCTCACTGCAACCTCCGCCTCCTGGGTTCAGGCAATTCTCCTGCCTCAGCCTCCCGAGTACCTGGGATTACAGGCACGCGCCACCATGCCCAGCTAATTTTTTGTATTTTTTTTTTTTTTTTAGTAGAGACGAGGTTTCATCATGTTGACCAGGTTGGTCTCGATCTCTTGACCTCGTGATCCACCCGCCTCGGCCTCCCAAAGTGCTGGGATTACAGGCTTGAGCCGCCACACCCGGCCCAGGTAGATATTATTATGAGCCCCATTACAGAAAGGTGGAAACAAGCTTAAATGAAGCAACTTGCAGTAGGGGCGGTTGGGATTTGACTTCAGTCTTTTTGACTTTAACATCTTTATTTCTAACCATTACCTTATACTGTCTCTTTTGTGAAACATTAATATATGGACTTGTGCACCAAAGCATACTGAATATACAGATATAAATTGCATTGTTATAAATACAGTTTATAACAATGGACAGTTATAGGAATTTAACCACAAATAAATGTTGCTCTATGTGATTAAGCACACTATTTCTACATAATGCCAATGAATCATAGAAAAATGGATAAATTATTCTATTGTATTAATTGTGTTTTTTATTTTCTGCATTTTGGGGTGCATGGATATCTCAGGGTCTTGCAGTTTTGGGGAGGAACGGCTCATGTTAGTTCATTCTTAGTGGTAGCAAACAACTGGTTGGGAGCATGTGTTTAATATGTAAACCAAACATGGTCCAAACCCCTAATCCCCTCTTTCATTAAACTCTCACACATGGAGTCGACCTTTGACCTGCCCTCAGTCACCCAGAGCCAGGTACTGAACAAAGAGGGACCGATCACGCCTGTAGCCCAGGGACTGTGGAATCTATTCGAACCATCCGATCCTAAACCTGGTCCCCTGATTACACAAACTTTCCCCTTTCTTCCCATGAGAACCACAAAAAAGGCTCTGGCCCATATTTTCCCCTTGATCCTTCTGCCTGGTTAGGTATTGTTGATAAACAGGTGAGTTTGTGAGTTTTCCACTTGTCGCCCAGCTCTGATGTGTTATCTCTTTTTTTCTCTTTCCTCCAAGATGGAGTTTCTCTCTTGTTGCCCATCCTAGAGCACAATGGCGCCATCTCGGTTCACTGCAACCTCTGCCTCCTGGGTTCAGGCAGTTCTCCTGCCTCAGCCTCCCAAGTAGCTAGGATTACAGGCATACACCACCGCACCTTCTCATTTTTGCTTTTTTAGTTGAGACGGGGTTTTACCATGTTGGTCAGGCTGGTCTTGAAGTCCTGACCTCAGGTGATCACCTGCCCTAGCCTCCCAAAGTGCTGTGATTATAGACATGAACCACCATGCTGGGCCATGTTACCTCTTTTGAGTCTCATTTTCCACATTAGTCTGATGAGATTAATAACACCTACCCTGTAGAGTCATTCCCATTCCTCCTTCACCCCTAATCTAATATGTACACATAGACACACTCACACTCACAGTTCAATAAGACGATGGCTCTTTTGGAGAAGTCTTAGATTGATCCATAAACAATTTAGTAAATTTACTTTTTGGAAAATACATCATTTCTTAGGGATGTTTCCCCTCTAGAAATATATGAAAGCACAGCCATTTTGGCAGCATTGACCTGAGATTAGAGTGCAGTTAGTAAGATATCTTTTGTAGCTTCTTTAACCGTGAGCAATAGAAAGATGTAAAGTCTTTATGTTCATTTCTTTAAGCCAATAATCTTCCATGATAAAATGATTTGTTATTTCTGAAGTGTTTAGAATTTACATATCTTAGAGGCCTTATTTAGTTGAGTTATAAAAATTAATTCAGAGAGAATACATCTAGAATTTTATACTATCTCTTCTATTTCAGATTCAATGAGTGTGAGGAAGAGCTGAAATGTTCTTGCCTTCTGTGTTCTTTACACAGTGTTACAAAAAAGAGACATATATTGCTGAATAATAATGTATGGTTGGCTGGGTGCAGTGGCTCACGCCTGTATTCCCAGCACTTTGGGAGGCTGAGATGGGTGGATCATGAAGTCAGGAGATCTAGACCATCCTGGCTAACATGGTAAAACCCTGTCTATACTAAAAATACAAAAAAAAAAAAAAAAAAAAAAAAAAAATCGGCTGGGTGTGGTAGCATGCACCTGTAATCCCAGCTACTCGGGAGACTGAGGCAGGAGAATTGCTTGAACTCAGGAGGCGAAGGTTGCAGTGAGCTGAGATGGTGCCACTGCACTCCAGCCTGGATGACAGAGCGAGACTCCATCTCAGAAAAAAAAAAAAAAAGAAAAGAAATAAAAAAGTATGGTCACACATTTTTTGTTAATTGCTTAGAATATTTCTAAAACTAAAATTTAAAGTTTAGTTTTAAAAATTAATCTTTACATGCTCCATCCTTAATTCTAAATGTGATTTGTTTATTCCTCATTTTGAATATGTAAAGAACATTCTGTTATGTTAAAGTGTAGCTGTTATTCATTTACAGTATACAAAGATGGTTAACAGTTGTATTATGGAAGTACAGCTCATGATTTAACTGGGGCATTTTTTCTTCTTAGATTTTATTTTTGTAAAATTTGCAATGATGTTCAGTTTTTTCATATCAAAGAATCATACATGAACTTCAAATTATATTCAAAGTCACCCAGAGCTCAATAATTTTGTGTAATTTATGAATATACTTTTTTCAACTTTTCTATTTTTATTAATACTCTTAAGAGTAACCTAATGACACCAATGATTGTTTTGCAATATTGGCATCAGACTTTATAAGACTCGTGATACTAAATCTTCTATCACATATAAAAATCCAATTCAGTTGCACCTGCCGGCTCCTTTTTAGAAGCACTCAGTTTTTATAAACGAGGTATTAAGTTGCTCTCATTATTCATTAATTTACCTGGTGAAAATTCTGAGAGGCATATCGTGCCCAAATGTCACCCTCAGTTTCGACTTCATTGAAGGAATCTGTACAGAGCACAACTGAAATCAAGACTCTCAATCATTTGCTAAGAAATGGTTCCCAAGTTAATGGGGTTGTGTTTAAAGATGAAGGAAATTGTACAAAATCAACTGAAATAATATAAATGTCCAGAATGTGATCTGTTTTCACCTAATCATTTTCAACACTAACAGGCAGTGCCCACTTCATTTCTCAGAATTTTCTCAGAACAAAAGAAATGAAATTTGCCTTGTTTCTGAGGTGGCTACTGGCTTTCTAATTAAATGGGTATACTCGTCGGGTCTTCCAGCTCACCACAAAAGATGATGTGGACTTTTTCCCTTGTAAATCTCACCAGTAACAAACTTACTATAATGGAAAAAGTAGAAGGAAAACAGAAGGAAGCAGGTTAGTTGCTTCTGTATATGAATGCAAACTCTATATGAACTGTGCTACATTCCTCAACTGGTTTTGCTCTATTATGTTTTAGTTATTTTTAGTTTCTTATTTGATCAGTTGACCTAGCAAAGAAATACTTTGATTCTCAAGGCCAAGACTGATGGCCCAGTGTATTTTGCTGCTGCTTACTGTGATCTAGTTTCCCTATGGATGTAGCGGAATTCATAGTGTATAAAAATAGAGTTGCAAAATTATTCTCTCTTAAGCATTAAATACATTTTTGCCTTTTCCAAAGCATTTATAAACATGTAAGAACTAAGGTGAACATTAATGGCAACAAGAGAAAGAATGCAAACACATATAATCCGAGATCCTTACATGGTTATCTTGAGGAGGGTTTATTGTGATAATTATGTAATTACGTTAGATAAATTCTATGTTGGATAAATTTCATTTTTAAAGGAAAAGAAGAATAAAAAAGTCTGTACATTAACATATATCTGATTTTAAAATATGCTTTAATTAATTTAAAGTAATTAATATTTTGCATTTTGCTAAGTATATTATGCCTTTATTTCAGAAAACACTGTATTTTCTTAATATCAATTAAAAGTGGCTTGTGTCACAAACTTAGTTTACATCACCCACTGAAGCTTTCCCCTGGATCTGTGGCATGATTCTTTCATTTACCCAACTCTCACAATCTCAAACAAATTCTTTCTGAGTCCGCTGCCTGCATCACACAATCCTAGGCACAGAGGGTATTAGAGGTCTGGCTTCACCATTTCGAAGCTTACAATTCCACTGGGAAGGCCACAGGTACATGTGCAATGGCTGAAGAATCATATAAAGGTGAGGCTATCCTTAAGTGGTAGAAATTGCACAGCTGGGGGCTCCTGACACATGAAGAGACCTAAGTAAGAGCCTCTGGCGAGAATTCTTCAGAGAAAGTGGATTGAGGTGGATTTTATAAAAAAAATAGTGTGAAGAAGAGGAGGAAAGGTTGAATTTCTAGTCTTCTCAGAGTCTTATTCACAGCCCTAAAACATCAGATAGCAGGGGAAAAACATCCCTGCCTCCGTTCCTCTTCTTGTGGTTGCTTTCGGACTGGTCTTCTAAGCCCAGAATGTCTGTGTTTGGTTCACTGCCCGTTCTCCTGCCCTCATCTTCATCATTGCCCACGTATGCTTGCAATGCATTGCTTCTTTCCATTTAACAAGCCATCTAAAACCTTTCTGAATGTTGATGGGATAGGCACTAATACTAGGTTACTGAGGATCTCAGTTCATAAGAGAACAGATTGACTAATTCATCATTTCCTACCCCAAATTAAGTGGCACAATTCAGTCTCCAGTTCTGCTGGTTTTAAATGTTCGATTTTGAGATTTGGTGAAAGCCAGGATTATGAAGCTCTTTAAGTGTTTTATATTGCATCTAGCACATATTAGAACTTAATAAACATTTAATAATCGGTACAGAACCACATTGACTTCTCTGCTTTATGACACACAAGACACAGATACAGCCTCAGGGATTTTCAAGCAGTCAGTGGTTTTCCTGAAAGCGTAAGAGTGAAAGTGAAGTTTTCCTTTCTAGGCAGTGAATCATTTAACTTCTGAGTTCAGAAAAATTTAAAGTTTAAGAAGGCTAGTCTAGAAATCCCTTCTTTGCATATCCAAGCTGTTCATCTCTCAAAAGTCAAAGTGGATGCCAGAATTCCATAGATTTCATTTTTCAAGATGAACAGTCATATTTGAACATATTTCAAGCCAGATGGTTTACAGTTCATGTATTTGTTGGCGTTTTCCTGCCACAACAACTAAATATTGAAGACACATATTTGTGATGAGGAGTGCATTTCCAACCATCTTTTCCTGTTGCTCTTTCAGGCTGCATGCTCACCCCTCCCCCAGTGCCCCATCACTGCCTGCCACAGGGGAAGGCTCCCTGCACTCGGGATGAATTACATCCATTTGATTTAATAGACAGGGGATGGGTGAAATCACATAAAACAAGCCTTCTCCAAATACATATTTCTTGTAACAGCCGTGAATTTTCCCATGGCAAATAAGAAAGCAAATGAACAGCTATTGAAATATTCCATTTTCACTTCCATTTAGACAAGCTGGAAAGTTTACTTTTTATCCTCCTAGTACCTTGTAAGCCAGTTTGCCAAACTTTGGGACTATTTGATCACTTTCAGAAAAGAACAGGAACATCCAACAAAGGTTTAGTATTTTTCGTAAAAAGGAATGCCATCAGATATGAAAACATCAGCTGGAGAAAGCACTGCACATTTGTTCTGAAGGCTGCCAATGTCACTTAGCAGGTTCAGTGAGATCTCTCTTCCAGGACGACATGACTTGCAGTTCATTTGTCATCTTAGGTACAATTTGTTATTATTCTACTCAGTTGTCAATGTTCGCATTATTACAGTCTTAAAGATTCATTTTGTTGACAAAGGGCCATTGGGAAGTTGGACCAAAGCAATACAGAAATTTAAAACATGGAAAATAGAAGAAAGAATGTAAGCACATAAAAGAGTTATGCTTGCTTGGTACCATAACAAGATTTCTATGAATATTCCAGAAGCACTTCACAAGAAACTGGCAAAATGGAATAAAGCAAACCCGTCCACTGCTGTCATTGTAACCATCACCCAATGATCCAAAACACATACACACAAAAAGACTCAGTAATTTTTTTTTTTTTGAGACAGAGTCTTACTCTGTTGCCCAGGCTGGAGTGCTATATTGTGATCTCTGCTCACTGCAACCTTCACCTCCCATGTCCAAGTGATTCTCCTGCCTCAGTCTCCCAAGTGAGGGATTACAGGCGTGTGCCAATATGCCCATCTAATTTTTTTTGTACTTTTAGTAAAAACTGGATTTTACCACGTTGGCCAGGCTGGTCCTAACCTCAAGTAATCAACCTGCCTTGGCCTCCCAAAGTGCTGGGATTGCAGGCGTGAGCCACCATGCCCAGCCATCAGTAATATTTTTTTTAGAGATGGTTTGTGGAGTCCCATATTTTAAATAAAAATTGCCCCTAGAATCATGATTCTCAAGAACAGAAGGAGATTGCAGGGATCCTGCAATGATCACATGTTACAAAGGAGAAAATAGAGACCAAAAAGATAAGGGACTAGGTATAAGTCCCATTGCTGATTAGTGTAGAAATGAGACTAGAGCTGGTGTTCAGATCCACTGGCTATTTCATTTCATCACTCTCTCCACTTCTGTTTTCACGACTTTGCAGACTGCGGTGGACAGGGATGAAAGAATTAACAAAAAGCATCTCCTGAGAGCTCCCTCTGGGAGACGGAGTCCTGGACAATGGAGCCTGGGAAGGGCTAATTGGAAAAATGTAACCACTCAGAAGCCTGGAGTCTGGCTGTTTCTAGAGGGCCACCCAGGTGCCAGGCACTTCATATGTTATAATACTTAATTCTTGCAGACCTATTAGCATGGTACAATACAACCTATTTCATAGATGAGAAGGATGTGGAGATGCAAAGAGGCTAAGTCCCTCTTCTAAGATCACCTAATTAGTGAAGGCCACTGTGAGTCACAAGCCCATTGTGTGTGATGCCCCAATCCTGCGGTCTTCCTGCTCAACCATTTTACTTTTAAGACGGATGCACAGATACATGATGACAACTACAGATGGAAACTTCCTTTACCTGCATGACTGCTTCTGGTTTGATTGGTGTCCAGAGCTAGAGGTGTTTTATTGTGGCCTGGCTGATTAACTTGAACCAATAAAGAAAAAGTGTTATACAGAATGACTGGGGCCATGAAGCTGTGCTAAAGTTCCATGTAAAGAGAGGATCAGTCATCTGGTACTGTTCTGCCTGCCTTCACTGATGACGTAACTCTTGACAGAGTGTAGGTTTTATGTCAAACATTTAAAATTTTTACTTAAAGTGTGAATTTTCCCAATGGAAGAATATAATTTAATAGGACTATTGTCCTGAAGAAATGCCTTATTACTGGTAGATAATTTAAAATTTAGATTAATTTTTCCCATTGCCCTATTTTTAGCAATTCTTTTGGCCGATGGGAGGAAGCAAATTAATTGCTCAGAATCCACATTAGAGTGCTTTTTATATTTGTTTTTTAAGTTTAGGTTTATTTTTAATGAATGGCTCATCATTAATTGTTTTTATTCAAAAAACGGAAGAGTTTAACAAAATAGTTTGTTAGCACACACTGAGAAGATGTTAATGGAAGAAATTTCTTTCTGTCACACACATCTGTAGAGAAATCAAATCCTAAAAGTAAATAGAACTTTGCTTTTAGTACGACTTAACATTAAGTCACTATTTTCTTTCAGTGAATGGAAGAATGGAACACAAAAAGGAATTTTTAAGCCTATATTGAGAAAAATGTATTGGAAGAAGATTCTTTTTTTCTCCAACTTTTATTTAAGTTTTGGGGGTACATGTGCACTTTTGTTATGCGGGTAAACTGTATGTCTTGGAGGTTTATTGTATGAATTATTTAGTCACCAAGATAATAAGCTTAGTAATGGGTAGGTAGTTTTTGGATCCTCATCCTCTTCCACCTTCCACCCTCAAGTAGGTCTGGGTGTCTATTGTTCCCTTCTTTGTGTCCATGTGTACTCAATGTTTACTCCCACTTATAAGTGAGAACACGTGGTATTTGGTTTTCTGTTCCTGCCTTAATTTGCTTAGAATAATGGCCTCCAGTGCCATCCATGTTGCTTCAAAGTGCTTGATTTCATCCTTTTTCATGGCTTTGTAGTAATGCATGGTGTAACATGTACCATTATCCAGTCCACTGTTGATGCATTTAGGTTGATTCCATGTCTTTATTATTGTGAATAGCACAGCAATGAACATATGAGTGTGTGTGTTTTTTTTGGTAGAATGATTTATTTTCTTTTGGGTACATACCCAGTAATAGGATTGCTGGGTTGAATAGTAGCTCTGTTTTAAGTTCTTTGAGAAATTTTCAAACTGCTTTCCACTGTGGCTGATCTAATTTATATTCCCACCAACAGCATATAAACATTCCCTTTTCTCTGCAATCTTGCTGTCTTCTTTTTTGACTATTTAATAATAGCCATTCTGACTGGCGTGAGATGGTATCTCATTGTGGTTTAATTTGGTGGTCCCCAAGTTTTTTGGCACCAAAAACCAGTACTGTAAAAGACAAGTTTTCCATGCACTGGGCTTAGGGGATGGTTTTGGGATGAAGCTGTTCCACTTCAGATCATCAGGCATTAGATTCTCATAAGGAACACACAGCCTAGACCTCTCACACTCACAGTTCAAAACAGGGTTCATTCTCCTATCAGGATCTAATGCTGCCATTCAGCTGATAGGAGGTGGAGCTCAGGTGGTAATGCCCGCTCACCTCCTGCTGCATGGCCTGCCTCCTTCCAGGCTATGGATGGGTACTGGCCTGTGGCCTGAAGGTTTAATTTATATTTCTCTAATGATTAGTGATGTTTAGCTTTTTTTCAAATGCTTGTTGGCCATGTGTATGTCTTCCTTTTAGAAGTGTCTGTTCGCGGGCTTTGCCCATTTTTAGTGGGGTTGTTTTTTGCTTGTAAATTTTTTTTAAGTTCCTTATATATGCCAGATATTAGAACTTTGTCAGATGCATAGTTGGCAAATATTTTCTCTCATTCTATTTTGTCTGTTTATACAGTGCTTCTTAGAAGATGGATCTTCAACAAGAGCAATGAAGTCCTGTATGTATGTTGAAAATCATCATATAGTTCCTTTTGATGTCTAGTTCTACATTCCTCTTTATGTGGTCTCAACCCATCTAGTGAATTTGTGTTATTTGAAGCTCCAGGTGCTACAGTCTTTAACTGTAGCTCTTCCATATTTTAGTTCAAACTCTCTTCGAGGAGGTAAGGCCAATGGACCCAATAGGTGAGGCATCATGGCTACACACCATTTGATTAATTGGTACTGGTTGTGAATTAACCAATCTATACTTGGCATTTCAACATTTTATACTTAACTTTAACTTTGCCTCCTTATCTAGTACTGTATTAGTGGTATGACATTCCATCAGATACCTTCCTGCATGCTTCTCTAGGTGGAGTTAGCTTGACCAAGCTACTATACTACTCTGCCTATAATTAGTACTTACTTATTTTGCAAGGGCTCTTTGTGTTGGTATGATATTATTGTCAAAGTGAGAAGATTTCTTATCAAGGTGATTGAGGTGGTGCAATGTACAATCTGGCTTTTGGCAAAATCATTTGGTCACACTATGGCTTGGTTCTTGCAATCACATGATTGCAAAATACCCAAACAGTGCTCTTGCTATCTTTTTGGTTGCTGCCTCTCCACACTGTATAGGTAGATCTTGCCTACAAGGTGGAAAAAACTTGATCTCCTTGCTGTTGCTGAGGAAAACTGTCCTTGCATTCATTGATCACAGCTCATACATTCCTGGCTCAAAATGATACAAAGGAGAAGTGGAAGAAAGAAAAAAGGAAGAGATCAGATATACTACAAAATTGCAAGTTAGACCAAGGAAGAATAAGTTTTCTGGGCAGCTCTAGATTCTTTCTAGACTATCCAAATTTATGGATGGGCAACTTTAAAAAGCCACAGAGAGAGGACTCAAGATGGCGCTGTGAGAACAACCCAGGATTGGAGCTCTCGTTGAATCCGCAAAGAGGTGAATCCGAGCTGCATTTCCAGACTGATCTTTGTTGCCCACAGAACGGGGAAACTCCCAAGTATAAAAAAGACATGGGACGCCAGGCAGTACGTCTGCCTGGTGAAGCCGGCAGCGGGGGCCCGGCGGCAGCCGGCCCTACCCAGCAATCCCCACAGGGCGCACTTGTCCGGGTGCCCTGTTGAACCGGCAACCTGAGACTTGAGAGGGCTGGACTTGAGACTGAACGAGACTTGGACAGTAGGCCAGCCCAGGGGATTGCAGGGACAGAGCGTTCGGGATACCCAGTGGGATGAACAAAACCGCGATTTCAAACTATCCCGAGCAGACGGTCTGAGACGCTCTGTGGGGGAGGGGCATCCACCACTACCGAGGCAACCCGCCCCAACTGAGATACACGCCCACTGCTGACGCAGCCAGCCGTTGCCGAGGCAACCCATCCCTACTGAGATACATGCCCACTGCTGACGCAGCCTGCCATTGCTGAGGCAACACGCTACAACGAAGAGACTCCGCTGCAGGGCGTGGCGGAGACCACAGCAGAGCCTGCAGGAACAGGGCGAATCACACAACAGCAGGGTGGAGACTCAGCAGGCAAACAGTGGCTAGTCTGCCTCCTAGCTGGGCAGGACACCTCAAAGGACATCGAAAAATAAAGCCCGAACCCCCCAACACAGAGCATTTGAGAAAAAAAAAAAGGGTTTTTTAATGAGCTCTGTTGCAGCAGAATCAAACATAGCAGCCTAACAGCCCTGAATGAACAACAGAGCTCACAGCTCAGAAATTGAGCTCCTAAAAAGAACAGACTTTCTTCTCAAGCAGCTCCCTGAGCCCTCTATAACCAAAAGACTGACATTTGGCAGGCATCATCCTGGGACAAAGATAGCAGAAAAAGAAACGGGTAGCATCCCTCACTGTGCCACAGCTGCTAGAGGTGCACCCCAGACAAGCAGGGCCTGGAGTGGACCTCAGCAGTCATACAGCGAAGGGGCTAGGCTGGTAGAAGGAAAACCAAGTAACAGAAATACTTCATCATCAACAATCTGGGTGTCCACTCAGAGACCCAATCGAAAAGTCAGCAACTACGCAGAAGACAAGCGGATAAACCCACAAAGATGGGAAGAAACCAGCGAAAAAAAGGAGAAAAACACCCGAAACCAGAACACCTCGCCTCCTAGAAAGGACCAAAACTCCTCACCAGCAAGGGAACAAAGCTGGATGGAGAATGACTGTGACGAAATGACGGAATTAGACTTCAGAAGGTGGATAATAAGAAACTTTTGTGAGCTAAAAGATCATGTATTAAATCAATGCAAAGAAACTAAGGAACTTAAAAAAAGGTGAGGAAATGATAACAAGAATGAATAACTTAGAGAGGAATATGAATGAATTAAAGGATCTGAAAAACACAATACGAGAACTTCACAAAGCATGCAAAATTTTCAATAGCCGAATTGACCAAGCAGAAGAAAGAATATCTGAAGTCGAAGACCAACTCAATGAAATTAAACGAGAAAACAAGATCAGAGAAAAAAGCGCAAAAAGGAATGAACAGTCTCCAAGAAATGTGGGACTATGTGAAAAGACCTAACCTACATTTGATAGGTGTACCAGAAGGAGACGAAGAGAATGAATCCAAGCTGGAAAATACTCTTCAGGACATCATCCAGGAAAACTTCCCCCACCTAGCAAAACAGGCCAACACTCAAATGCAGGAAATACAGAGAACACCACAAAGATATTCCGCAAGAAGAGCAACCCCAAGGCACATAATCATCAGATTCAACAAGGTTGAAATAAAGGAGAAAATACTAAGGGCAGCCAGAGAGAAAGGTCAAGTTACCCACAAAGGGAAGCCCATCAGACTCACAGCAGACCTCTTGGCAGAAACGCTACAAGCCAGAAGAGAGTGGGGGCCAATATTCAACATTCTTAAAGAAAAGAACTTTCAACCCAGAATTTCATATCCAGCCAAACTGAGCTTCATAAGTGAAGGAAAAATAAAATCCTTTGCGAACAAGCAAGTACTCAGAGATTTTGTCACCACCAGGCCTGTTTACAAGAGCTCCTAAAAGAGGCACTA